ACTGAAAGCGGACGGAGCTATGTAGTTGGTTGCAATGGGTGCTGCAGTGTTTATGACCTACTGAACGTCCGATTCTTCTTCATCCTCCAACCACTAAACCCCACACCCTATAAGCCCTAAACCAAACGCCGAAAATCCTAAGCCTTAATTTAAACACAGCTCTTGCTCGAAGGAAGCCCTTTCAGAACCTTATACTCATAAAAGCCTTGCAGGGCAATTTTAACTATGCCCTAAACCCTAGCCTCTTGAGGAGCACAAGAATGCCGAGAACTTTCTGCTCGACGTGGCCTCGCAAAGCGCAGCCGACGCCAGAGACCTGAAGGAGCTACAAGGTACTTTTTGGGTTCTATATCCTTACAGATCCCTTATAGTAGCCCTTGTAGACCCCTTTAAAGGAACCCTACGAGTCTATATTGTACTATAAGCTGTCTATCAGGGTTCTATACATGGGGTCAGGAGTTAAGGGTTTCAGGATCCGTAGGGTTGGGGTTTAGCGTGTTGTGGGCAGGGTGGGTCTGAAGTTAGGGGATTGGTTGTCATGGTTTAGGGTTTAGGGTTTAGGGCTTAGAGATTGGGATTCCAGGGCTCAGGGACGCATTCTCAGGCTTTGATTTCGAAAGCTCCAATGCAAATCTTTGAACCCGATGCAGCTAAAGCTCTTCTACACGGTCGAGGCCCTAAAGGGCTGTGTAGCCTTAATCATGTGCTCCTCCCCTGTTTCCACATGATTTGGACGATGACGACCATGCTGACGCTTCCTTCTGGTCGTCGCAGCAGTTGGTTCTGCCACTCTGCTGTTGTGGTGTAGTTATGTTGCTACTGTTCGGGCTTTTCGCCACCCTCATCGCCACATCGCCCTGGTCGCCGTGGGCCTCATCGCACATTCACGAGATACCCAGACTCTTCCAGGCACCGAATCCTTCTTGCTGCGATCCTTTTTCCCGGGGCTCTTGCCAGGAGTTCTCCAAGTTGGCCAAAAAGAACAAAACCAAGGAATCAGGCGTGCTCTGAACATGGGGGCTTCGCAGGATTCTGGGTTCAGGGCGGGCCCTTTGGGTGTTGATGTTTTAGAGCTTCAGGGTTTAGGGGGGCTCTAAGGAAAGGGGGGGGTCTTACAGCTCTTCTTTTGGGTGCGTGTGGTCTCCTGGGTTCAGGGGATGCGGCCGGGTGCTTTCTGGCCGGAAGGCCGTTGGGGTTCGGGTTTTGAATGTTGAAGGGGGCTCTAAGCTTGGACAGCTCACCGGTCTGGAGGCCCAACAGTAGTACGACTGGAGGACAGAAAATGAAAGAAGGTCAGCTTCCAGGGAAGTATTGTCGGAGTTTCGTCTACCAAGTATCCCGACATGCTTGCCTCCGCGCGATATTCCGGCTCGATCCTGAATGATAGAAGCCTTCCAATGGGCAGGATGCCGCAATACATCCTAGTCAACATCAGACGGTCGGCCAACAGCGAATGGAGAATCGTACTCTGATCAAAGCCTGACGGGCTAGCTCACAAACCTCCAACTCTAAACCCAAGAGTCCAATCGTCCTAACCAAACAAGACTTCTGGGGTTCTGGAATCAAGGCGATGGTGAAGATGAAGGCGAAGCCGAAGAGCTTGATGCAGATGAAACTGAAGACGACGGCCGATTGTTTGATGTTGGCTGAGAGTATCCCGCCAAAGCACGGCTTCTATCGTTCGTCCTCGAACCGGAATATCGCGTGGAGGCTGTGTGTCCGGATAGGTAGACTGCAAAATGCACTGTAGCTTTGCAAGGTGTTGCCAGGTTCGATATGCAGATCCCAAGCATGTGCCCTCACCCCGAACTGAGACACTGCTGGTTTTTGGGATCCAGGCGACGGTGAAGATGAAGACGAAGATGAAGATGAAAGCGAAGACGAAGAAGATGCTGCCGGTGCCAAAGATGGAAAGAAGACTGGAAAGAAGGACAGCTGCTTGCCGTCGTTATGGCTCGTTACGGCTCCTATGACACAAGAGAGACCGAGTCCTGGTAGCAAACGCCTCAGTTCGCCCTGCTTGCAACACTAACACGCCGACGACCACAACGACGGCGAGAGGGGCCGGCAACGACGACGACAACGACGACGAGGCCGAGCGAGGGAGAAGAGGGGGAGGAGGAGGGGGGGGAGGGGGCAGGAGGAAAATGACGGCGGTGGCGGCAAGGGCAGGTGCTGTTGTTGGGGTTACAACAACCGACCTGCCGAACAATTACCAGGCTCCTACTCTTACTGCTACTTCTACAACTGTCATTGAGCAAGCGCAGCACCGAGCCCCCCTAAGCCCTCAGCCTTACATCCCAAGACTGTCTTCAACCGTGAATCCCAAGGCCAAAAACCCTTCCCTCAAACACCCAAGCGCAAACAGCCTAAACCACAACAAGATACCAAGATGCTCCAGAACCCTACAATTCACCACGAAACTTCATTACACCATAAACAAGACATTCACGACCGTCACAAGAGAACCCTAAACCTAAAACCCCTTTAAAGGCCCCAGCAACAGCCCGCAGCTTCTCCAAGGCTCCAAAGCCGACGCAGCCAAGAAGTCGAAAGAGACACCCGGCCTGGCGTTACTAGTTTTGAAACTTTCCCACATATTCTAGGACCCGGAGCGGGCCCTTATTCTCTTTTGTTAGGGTTGAGGTTCCCTTATAACGCCCTTTAACCCAAAACGGGCGCCCTTTTTATTCCTAGGTTACTCTTGGGTCTAGTATTAAGGCCGCTGATAACACTATCAGTAAGAGTGCAGTGAGAGTCATGATAGTGGTAATAGTAACAATAATACTAGTTCTAGAAGCCTGGAAACTTGATCATAGTACTTCAAGCAATGAGGACCAATGTGGATATCAAGAGCAGGAATGCCAATAGTAATGGTCATAATGAGCACGCTGACAATAATAGTCACGGTGATACCGAGACTATTCGACAAAGGAAACAGCGTAAGAACGCAATAGAGGGCCTTCATATCTAGACTCGGGTGTTGAGGTACGTTACATTGTACTTACAACAGGATCCCTCACCAATCTGACTATTACTCTGGTTTTGGCTAGCAGTGGCCGTCGTCGCAGTATTTGTCGTACTAGTAGTAGTAGTAGTAGTAGTAGTAGTAGTAGTAGTAGTAGTAGTAGTAGTAGTAGTAGTAGTAGTCGTAGTAGTAGTAGTAGCAGTAGTAGTGGTGTTAGTGGTAGTGTTAGTCCAGCGATTGATTCCTTTTCCCGAAGCTCAGGGCTGCGCCTAAGAGCTCATAACTGCCGGGCTCACTCCATACCTGCCACAGGCGTGGCACGGTCGGATGCGGCTGTTCGGATTCGGATTCTGGGGGTTCGATTAGGGCTGTGTAGTCATAGTCTTTATATATGGGAGTTCATAGGATTGTGGTGGAAGTATGAATAGGCCTGAAGGTTGAAGGTGTAGACTTTGGGGTTGGGGGCCTAAGGTGTGAGGCTCAGAGGGTTGGGAGTCGAAGACCTGGGCTGTTTCACATTCGCGGGATTATGGCTGGGGCTTGGGTTTGCTGGTGGCCAAGAGTGCCAAGCCTGTGTTTGAGACATTCTGCTTTAAGGCCTTCAACCCTAAACCCAGAACCCTGAACTGTTTGATTCGTCGTGGTCGAATGAGCTCGATGCTGACGATTTGAAGGCACCCCGGATCGGAGGGCTCCTTGAGCAGGAGTGGGGGCCGACGTCAACAACGGAAAGATAGGGGCCTTAATAATTAGAATAGGGTTTTGGGGCCCATTATAATGTAATTGTAATAAGGAACACCCAAAATATTAGAACTTCAAACTCCAGCCCGACGCCCTACTGTAGCCGCGAGATGCCAGACTCGAAACCGTGGTACTCAGGGTTCAAGTTGGCTTGAGAACTTATTCTCATGCTCTTATCAGAGGCCTCAGCTGGCATCCCAAGATCTCGTGTCCACTACCTCCCGTTTCTGAATGCCAAACACTTTCAAGCCTTCCACCCTAGCTAAACAAGATTCAGGACTTAGGGTTTGCAGCCAAGAATCCAGGGCTGCGCGGGAAGTATGCGCGAAGGTCTAAAACCCAGCACGGAATCTTCAGCCGAGCTTGAACTCTGACTTATCTTTTTATTATTACCCTCATCTATACAAGGGCATGTATGGGAGGGGGAAGAACATGTATCTCGGATAAGCTGTGACCCTAAGTCCTAAAACCCGGAACACCAAGGCCTGAACTGGACATGAAGCTTCATGGGTCCCTGCAACTACTCCTGCATGTACAAAAACAAGATGAACTCCTAGTCCTACTCATCCCCAAACTAGTACTTGCTTGCTGGAGAACATGCTGCATCACCTCAACAACCCCAAACTGCAAGGGGTGTCGCCCCTCAGCAGTATGAAGCGCCCATAGTAACACAGGGTCGGAATAATGCCGATGCTGATTCCCACTAGTGCGAAGGTCCTTCGTATCATCGAGCCCTTATAGTTTACCATTATCGAGCCCTTTGAGAGGCTCATGGCCTCGTGCCTTGCGGAATCGCAGCTGGCGCGAGGGAGCTGGAGTTCTGCTGTCAGGAAGAGGAAAAGTTTGTTGTTTTGGTTTTGGCTTGCAGGGTGTAGGGTTTTTGTTTTCGGGTTTGGAATGCCCGTGGATGTCAAGCCTAAGCCGTAAATTCGCTCTGCAGCTCTCAATCGTTGTGAAGCTTCGTTTCACCTTGGCGGGTGTCTCCGGGTTTCACGCGATGCTGCTCCGGGGCACTCGAAGAGGAGAGAATTGCAAGCCTTGCTAAAGTGCTTTTAACCCTCTCCCTTGAGGCGGCTACGTTTGGCCTTCGCAGTCTGTAGTGCCGTCACCTCCGTCTTTACGTAAGATTCTGACGATTGCGAAACCTAAGGCCTCGGACTCACACGCACGGGATTGCAGGTGTTAGGGTCCCAGCTGTTGGAGGAACCGCCTCGCCTCGCCGCAGTGTTCAAAAGCGTACTTGCTTCGCCCCTCAGCCTTCTCCTTGTCTCCGCATAAACCGTTGAGCATCATGCCTGTTGGTGCCTTGGCCGAAGTTGGCTTCCGAGCTGCATGCTTCGGGAAAGTCTGCTGCAATCCCTACCATGTGAAAACCTCTCAGATTCCAACAGTTCCCCTCCCCAAACCTCAAACACTAGGCGGAGTAGGGCTTTGGGTTGTGGCTGGGCTCCGGGGTTTCGGGTGGAAGGGTCGAGAGCTTCTTGGAAAAGCTGGATGGACAGTGACATCCGTTTTGAAGAAGGAGCTCTCAGCTCCGACCCTTGTTATACTATACTATATTTACTATATTATACTATACTATACTGTTCTATACTGTTCTATACTATGGTATACTATACTATACTATACTATACTATACTACTCTATACTATGCTATAGTTTGCTACATACCCTACCATGATGTACTATACCCTCCTTTCCGTGCAGACGTCCAGTATAGATCAAAGCAAGCCCACCGCCCATCCGAAAACTAAAAGCCCAAGCGCCAAATCAGAACCTAACACCTAAAGCCGAAACACCGAGCCCACACCTCCAGATGCTGCAGGCCAAACCCCAGAAGTCGAAACATACTCTAAAAATATGTTATAGTATAGTATGCTATACTCTTACGCTGCTATCATATGATATAGTATAGTTTCATATACTGTACTGCGCTATAGTCTAATTTGCAATATCAGGTATGGGAATCAATGGCTTCGGTCGCATTGGCCGCCTCGTCTTCCGTGCCGCCATGGGCAATCCGGACGCCGAGGCGTGACCTCAGGAGCTAATCTTTTTGGCGCTTTGCTAGGGCTTTTCGAAGAGTTCTATAGGGTTCTAGGGCTTCGCCAAGGGAGTTCTATAGGGTTCTGGTAAATTGAGGTGTTTTTTGGATGTATTTAGGGGCGTTTTCCCCTGATCTTAAAACCCCACCTCCTTGAAACCCTCTAGCAGCCCTGACAGACTGTATGAACACCCAAAGTCCCAAGTAGCACTTGTTAAGCCCCTGGATCCTTGGGCACCCCGGCTGCCTTCAGGCCCAAACCCTAAAGCCTCAGCCCGAAACCCTAAACGCTTTCACTTACCTTTGGTTAGTAGGGCATGGAGGAATGGGGTAGAAATATAACTACTATGACTACCATTCTTCCATTCCCCACTAACCAAAGGTAAGTTTAGTGCCCCATGAACGAACCGTTAGAGGAACCCTTGAACGGACCTCAAAGCTGAAACTCTACCCGAGTGTCCAGGTCAAGGCCATCAACGATCCCTTCATGGTCGGGATCTCAAATTTTTTTTTTTGGGGGTTTAGGGTTTAGGGTTGAGGGCTTCGATTTTAGGGTGTTTGCGGGTTTGGAGTTCTGCATGTCATCGCATGTTTTTCTACTAGAGGTTCCATAAGGCTTGAACGCTCCGCTGAGCTTCGATTTCATTTCAGGTGTTGGAGTTTGGGGTTTTGGGGTTTGGGGTTTGAGGGTCTGAGGGTTTCGGGTCTTTAGGGAAGATTGTGTTTTCGCGTTTGGGGCTTAGGGTTCATGCTTCCCTCTTTTCCTAAAGCTCCCTGACCCGAGGACTTGAAGCACCTGACCTACCCAAGCCCTAAACTCCAAGCCGACCCGACCGAGGACCTCAAGTACATGGTCTACCAGCTCAAGTATGACAGCGTCCACAAGACCTTTGCAGGCCCCCGGGAGGATCTAGAAAGTAGATCCCCTGGTTTGGGACCCTACACTACTAAGGCTACTTTATAGGCACCCCCCATTAAGGGATCTACTCACAAAGCCCCATAAACCCTATGAAACCCCTAAACACACCAGACCAATATAGAGCCGGAACCCTTAAAGGAGCCCCCCCTTAAGGGATCTACTTTTCGGATCCTCCAAAGGGGGTCTGGGAAGCTGCAGGCACGGTGGCGTGCAAGGAGGCAGATGGCAAGGAGTTCCTGGCCACTCGTCTCGCAGAGTTTAGGACCAAAGTTTGGGGGATGGGGTTTTAGTTAGAGGCTTAGGGTTGTGAGAGTTTTTAAAAATGTAGACTTGAGTTTAGGGTTCAGGGGTTTCAGGATTCGAAGGGGCTGGGGTCTGGTATGTCATTTCCGTCAGAACTGCATTAGAATGGCGAAGGTCGTCAACGGCAAGGAAATCGCGGTGTTCCACGAGAAGGCTGGGGTGCGCATGAAACCATGTTTGGACTTTCTTGCCCCTCAAATTTGTTGGCAGTCTTGGCATTGGTGGGCCGACCTTTGCATTTGGGTTCAGGGTTCCGGGTCTAGGGTTTGGGCTTAAGGATTCAGGGCATGGGCGAGTTTCGAGACTCAGGGTATTGGCTTCATGGTCCCTAAACCCTAAACCCTGACCCCTTAAACTCTATCTGGGTTCAGGGTTCAGGCTTCAGCTATAGGGCGTAGAGTTTGGTATTCAGGGTACCTGGCTGGAGTAGTGGGAGCTGGGACTTGGATTGTGGAATTCCCCGAGCTTCACTTTGCCTGTAAACCGAAGCCCCGCAAGCCCCCTAAACCCTTAAACCCTAAACCACCTGAACCCCAAACCTTACACCCTAAACCCTTACACCCTAAACCACCTCAACCCCCAAACCTTACACCCTAAACCCTTACACCCTAAACCACCTCAACCCCCCAAACCTTACACCCTAAACGGGCAGGATCCGGCATCCATCAAGTGGGGGGAGACTGGGGCCGACTATGTCCCTCGCCTGCCGCAGAAGATGAGGGTTTGGCGTTTAGGGTTCAGGGGGTTTTGTGGTTTAGGGTAAGGTTTTAGGGTTTAGGGTTTAGGGTTCAGGGGTTTGGGGTTTATAGGGTTAGGGCTTCGCCATCCAGCTTGTGGGCTTTGGGCTAGACAATAGATGTGATGTTGGTGCTTCTTCTTGATTCGCAACGGAACTGGTATGTATATCTATATGTAGATACGCCGTCGCATGAATGAGGCACGGACAGAACTATGCCTACCCAGTTGTCTGTCTATCTGTCTATTTGTCCGATTGAAACTTGTGTATTTGTCTATCCGCCTGTCTATCTGTCCGTCTCTCCCCCTGCCTCCCTCCCTCCCTCCCTCCCTCCCTCTCTCACTCTCTCACTCTCTCACTCTCTCTCTCTCTCTCGACTGCGTGTGCGTACGAGCTCATGGGGCCTCTCGCTCCATGTCTCCATGTCTCTCTCTCTCTCTCTATCTCTCTATCTCTCTATCTCTCTATCTCTCTATCTCTCTATCTCTCTATCTCTCTATCTCTCTATCTCTCTATCTCTCTATCTCTCTATCTCTCTATCTCTCTATCTCTCTATCTCTCTATCTCTCTATCTCTCTATCTCTCTATCTCTCTATCTCTCTCTCTCTCTCTCGCTCTCTCTCTCTCTCTCTTTCTCTCTTTCTCTCTTTCTCTCTTTCTCTCTTTCTCTCTCTCTCTCTTCCATCTACCTGCCTGCTTGTCTATGTCTCTCTGTATCTATGTACCCACACGCATGTCTACGGGCATGCTGGTGTCTGTTTAGTTTGCCCTGCCTGCATCGCCTGCCTGCCGGCCTGCATACGTGTTTCTACACATACACACGTATCTGTGTGTTTGTCGGCTTTGCTCCCTCTCTCCTTCCTTGTTCAAGACAGACAGTTATGTCCCGGAAAAGCAGAGGCTGGCTGACAAAAGCAGGTATCGTATCATAAGCTCAAGCCACAGACGGTATCGCAGGATATCCCAAGGCTGCAAGTCCTTCGAAGAGTTGCCCAAAGCCCTTAGGTCAGGGGCTGAGCCATAAGGGCTTAAGCCAAAGCCCCAAGGGCCAAGTCTGAACTCGAACTGTGACACCACCGTAGGTTTGCGAGTCCACCGGCGCCTCGGCTTGGTTTTTTGATTTGAGGGCATTCAGTGTAAACTTTTCGGTATCAGACGGAGGATGCGGGAAGAGCGTATCCCCTTGCAGTCGTTGTGTCGGGTTGTGGGGGACTGAGCCTAAGCTCTACACCCCAAACCTTCAACCCCGCACAATAGATCTTAAAGCATAAATCCTCGACCTGAAATCTCGACCCGAACCCCGAAGAGACTGCAGGACTTTCAGGGCTTGCGGTTTCGGACTCGGCCCACCTTGCGTTGGCTGGTTTGCCGGGTTTCTCAGCGTTTTGTAGGGTGTTGTAAGGGTTTATGCGGGAGGTTTAGGCCTGATTTCTTTTGTGTGATGTTTGGGATGGGCTTATCGAGTGTCAGGGTTTCTGAATTTGAGATTCAATCTAGAGGGCATGGTGTCTCAGACTCAAGATTCTTAAGCCTCCTCCTGTATAGGCACACACGGAGCACATCTCTCGCTATGGGTTTTTGGGCGTATCTGCTGAGGTACTTCGTGCAATTCTGAGACTACACCCTAAACACTGAGCTCAGGGGTACAAGCTACTTCAACAAATACTTTCGACCCCAGAGTCTCGTTGAATTTATGCGTCCCTTGTCCTTATCCTCGATCCTGTCTCTGCAGTATCCCAGGTATCTTCACCACCAAGGAGAAGGCCATGGACCGTGCGCGAAACCACAAGTGAGGGATGGGAGTTTCAGGAAATGAGGGATCGAACCCTGAATAGTAGGATCCTTGTTTGTGAGTGCCACCAGAAAGGTAATGGACCCAACTTAAACCTTGAAGCTTGTAGTAGGGCGGCATGTACAGATGTGACCGCGAAGCTGTTGGTTGCAGTTCAGGCGGCAGCTTAAAACTCGAAGCCCCAAACGTGGCACTCAACCTGCACCCGAAGGCCCATAAACCCATCGCTGGCAGCGCGAAACCCCTGGGCCCTAAGCCGGCCCAAGCCCACCATGTGAGAGTTTCAGAAAATGCGGTTCCGCGAGTTCCGGAAGCACCATCCGTGGAATCCTTGGTGGGAACCGCTGACTGCTCACTGCCCGTTTGCACAACCTGTAAAAGCTCCGATAAACCAAGGGAGCCCTAAACAGAAGCCGGGCAAGCACGCGGCATTAACTTTAACCCCCAATCCCGTGAAAGTTGGAAGAAGCTCGGAGCCCCGAACCAGGCCGAGCTGCACATCAAAGGCGGCGCCAAGAAGGCCTTATCCTCGGGCCCTGAAAGATTTTTTAAGTTTTGGATTGACCAGAATTTTGGGATGTTTGGCGTTCAAGCTGAGGGTTTGGGGTTCACGGCTTCGGGCCTTTGTAAGTTCGGGCGCTCTCAGTTCCTCCTACTGGCTTGTCTTGGAGGATCTATCTTGTGGCTTCTCATGGGGTGTTATGATGCTCTCGCAGGCTTCTTTTGTTTTGGAGTCTCTGCTACGGGCATACTATAGCCTATACTATACTACACGATAAGATGCTCTGCTATAGTATGCTTTACTATGCAAAACGTACCATAATAGACTATAGTGTATCACAGTATATGGTAATACAGCATTATGTACCATAAAATACGCTAACACACTCTACTCCTTGGTGCTTTCGGCTTTCCTCAGAGAGTACTCCGGGACCGAAGCTATGGAGTCCGAAAGCCAGCCATAAAAGCTACTCATCAAATCCAGGCCGAAAGGGTTCTTAAGGTTTCCGGTTTAAGGTTTCAGTGGTTTAGGGTTGAGAGTTTAAAAATCCTGAACCCTCAAGGCCTGATACCCTAAGCCCGAATCAGCACACCCCCAGAACCAATGCATGTTAATCCCAGTGCGATTTAAGCTTGATTTTGTATGGCATGTGCTTGTATAGCAGATCAGATGAAAGTCTCTGTGTGTGTATATAGTAGAACTGGTGAATCTACTTGACAGAAGAAGATGAAGATTACTTAAGCTCTCAGGGATCCAACTCCTGAATGCTGTCGTTGACAAGCAGCTTAGCTCAACTCATCTTCCTTGGCTCTCAAAAACCCTTAAATTCCCCGAGCTAAACACGTACAGCCCGAATCCGTAACGTCCGGAACCGCAGGTCATCATCTCTGCCCCGCCCAAGGAGACTTTCTGCAAGTTTTCTTGGGCGCCGGCTTGGGGATCATTAGGGGGGGTCTAGGGTTTGGCTTTTCATGATTTAGAGTGTAGGGTTTTGAGGAGTCAGTTCTTGACTCGAGCCCCCATGCAAGACAAGAATGGCTGCATCGCCTGGGAAGAGCTGGGGGTGAAAGTTCCCTGGCTAAAGATCAGCCCTGAAGCCCACGGACCCTTACAGAAATGCTGAGTTCAAAGCCCAGAAACCTGAAAGCCCCGGGGCATCCTAAGCCTGAGACCGCGCCTCTGAGCGAGGATGACGTCCCCATGTACGTCGTTGGCGTGAACCACACCGAGTATAAGAAGACCGACACCGTGGCCCCTTTCTTCTGATGGAAGTGTCGTAAAAGTTCGAGGGGCTCCGAGTTATGAGTGGGAAGGTGAAGGACTTTGAGTTTAGTTCATCATTTTCTTAGGCCCGCAATTCAGCTTAGGTTTTGGGCGTGGAGCTTAGGATTTGGGGGTTTGGGGTTTAGGGTTGAGGGCTGCTGCAGAGATTCTTGCACATGGCCGGGCTTTTGATGCCTGGCTCAAGCCTGAGCATGTTTGGACATCCTCGAAACGGGGACACGAGGATCCGGATTCCGGCACTTGACCTGAGGCCCACAGGATCTACATATGCTAAGTTCAAGGTTTTCTTCTCTGACTTCCGCGCTTGTTGTGGTATTTCAACCCCACCACAGCCAGCTCTCGATGCCATGACTTTGACAGTATCCCAGAAGGTTAACTCTGAAGCACTGAGGCAAAACGGACAAAAATCCCTAAGGCCCCAAACGCGAAACCCTCTACACTACCAACTCCCACGATACCTTACCACGCCAAAACACCCCTAACATTTAACATGGCTTCAGCCCTGAACCCCAAGCCCGTGCAGGGCAAAAGGTCCGGATTAACAAGAGCCCAAACCCGAATCCTAGTCCTGAGCCCTAAATCCTAAAGCCTTAAACGCATCCAACAATTCTCTAATATTCTACACCCACAGAGGTGTCCAACGCCTCCTGCACGACCAACTGCTTGGCGCCGCTGACCAAGGCAAGCAGAGAGTGTGGGTTTCGGGTTCAGGATTTAATTAGGGTGCGGGGAGCCTGCTCAAGGATGATGACACCTTCTAGTCCCGAATCGAATCATACATGCTGCATACCCCTTCAGTTTCCGGTTTTACTTCGTAATTGTTTATTTTTTTGAATAGTGTGCTCCCAAGTGCTTTTCTGATTAACTACAGTTTATCCGTATACTATCACCGGCAGGTTGTTCACGAGAAGTTCGGCATTATCGAGGGCTTGATGACCACCGTCCACGCCAGGGCCTCGGCAAACGAGCCTCCAGCATTCCTCTTCCAGTTTTGGCTCATTTTTAAGATTCCGCTGTCTAAGGCGTTGAGTATGTTTCCTTTTAAGGGTCCCGTTGAGGGTTCCGTGGTCCATGGTTTTTGTGTCACAGCTCCTCGAAGGGAGTATGGGACATAGGTTTAGGGAGCTCGCTTGGGTTCGTCAGAAGGGTTCTGGAATCGTAGGTTATGAGGCTTTCGTCTCCTCAGCCTGGAGCCCCCCAGACCGGAACTGAAAGCCAAGAAGCCTTGAAGACCGGATGCCTCTGAAGCACTGAGGCAATGACTGCAACACAGCTTACTGTGGACGGCCCCTCCCGCGGTGGCAAGGCGGCACCGCATGTGATGGACACATGCACTTCAGGCTATAGTGTCGCAACAGCATGCAATAGCGACAACTGTCGACGAACGCACAGGGAGTTGTCGTCGCAGTGGTAGTAATACCACTCGTCGTAGTCGCCGTTCGCTTGAGGGCCGAGGATGTCCCCAGTTCAGACTGCGTCAAGGCTTGCGGTTCAGTTTTGTGCAAATGTGCTCCGAGTTTTCAAGCTTTCATGTGGGTGGTTGTCAATATTAGGGTCCCTGTGGGGGTCCCGATCATATTTAGGATACCCAATCATTTTTAATGTGGAGGTGGCCCAAAGTCTGCTATGTGCTGTCAGCCTAAGCCTCAAGGATCAATAAATCACGAACCACTCGAATCCGACACCGAGAAGCCGTTACCTAGTCTATATCCGTACTACCCAGTCTATATCCGAGCCTGAAGTTGTTCAATTTTTTAACCGCCAAGCCCGAAGCCATCTCTACACACCTCTACTTGGAGGACCGGTGATTCTGGTTTATACGTAGGATAGGCACAACTATAGTCAGGGTTTCTGCAGTGTGAGCTATTGGCTGAGTCCTTTGATCGCCCAATCAGAAACCTTCTTCTCTCTCTATGTATACATACATAAACACGTATCCCCCTGCAAGCCCGTAGAAGCACCCTTCAAGCATGCAAGCCCCATGCGGACAGGATTGGCGCGGAGGACGATGCGCCTCCCAGCACCTTGGACCACACTGAATTGGGGGCACTGTGGGCACCTTGATCACGAGTATAGGTTCCTATAAAGGGTTGCTACAAGGGCTAGTATGGTCTGGGACATGGGTTTTTCTATTTAGGGGCCGCAAGAACCGGAACAGGGTGTGGGGGTATACAGCACAGCACCATAAGGAATCAGGCGAGGCTTCCTTTGGGCTTTAGGGCTCCGGTTTTGGTTGAGCCAGCGCCTAATACCCCACAGGGCCTGAGGTTAAGGGTCCTTCACGAAGGACTGTAACCCGATACCCTAAGCCCCTGAACTCTGAACCTAAGTCCTGTTCCCGAGACCCACACCAGTGACTAGTGCATACACTTGTAATTGCTCGCTCGGAGTCGGGATTGTTGGGTTGAGTGTCTGATCCTGCGTAAACCTTTGTCGGACTGATGAAGCCGGAGACCTTACAAAACCCGAAGCCTTAAAGCCCAAACCCCACTCTAGGCAATTTGAGAGTCATCCAGGAGACTTGAGGAATTGTTCTGTAAAGCAGCCCGCAACCCAGAACCCTCAGCCGTAGAACCTGCAGCCCTGAACCCCCGAAGCCCTAAACCCTGTCGTAGCATCGTGTGCTTTATCGTAGGCTCATATTTGGGAGTTTCCGAAAATTCGGGGTCCCTTGCCTTGTTTGGGGGTCCTTATAATAAGGATCCCACTATGTAGGGTACTATATTAGGGTCCCCTATTTTCGGAAACCTCCATATCCCGTCTTCCTGACACATGGTCTGCCCCCCCAAGCAGCCGAATCCCAGGTTCTGGGCTGACTGAGGGTTTCAGCCATTATAGTGTTTACTCTAGCGGCCTTAATAATTGCCTATACAATTTTTTAGGGCTTCCTTATTATAAGTATCAGTATAGTAAAATGGGCACCAAAACCCTATTCTAACTATAACTTACAGTATTGCTTACAACCCTGAGCCCTCCACGCTACTTCCTGCATCGCAGAGTGGTGTTTCTGTTAGAAAGTAGGGGGTGCATTTTTTTGCGGGGTTTTGTTTGTTTAGAGGGTCCTGCTATGGTGGGGCCCTTCTGAAACTCCCAAATCCCCTGCAAGGAACATCATTCCTTCTTCCACCGGCGCTGCCAAGGATCTGCACTCAGAAGCCGTAGGGTCAGAGCAGTCTTACACTGTTGAGATCTTGGCTCATGCCCAACCCCTACTTGGATGTTCATGGGACTTAGTAATTAGGGTTATAAGTACCTTAATCAGGGTTATAAGTGATTGTAAGTATAGTTACCTTAATTATAACCCTAGTTACTAAGTCCCATGACCCTTTAAGTAAGCCTGAACCGTTGCCGATTGGGAGCGCTTGCACTCGAAGCATCCGCAGTTTGGGTGTGGGTGAAGCTGTGAAGCTATGCAGTTTGAAGGTGGCAAGGTGCTAGGCAAACAGCATCCAGGCCGCTGTTCGGGTGCAGGGCTGAGGGTCTTGAAGTTTAAGAATCCTAGCGACTGGACTCAGTCTTCCGGCCTCAGCCTTGCGCGTCAGGCTGTGGGCAAGGTCATCCCGGCGATGAACAAGAAGCTGACAGGGCCGCTCCGATGCACTGTGCATATCACTATCAAGTTCCCACATTTCCACATAGCATGTGTGTTTAGATGTATGCATCGTCTTGTTGCTGCATCGGTCTATTATCTAGCTATCGAGCTCCATCTAGCCTGTCGAGCTCAATGCTATGTAGAGCCCTGTTGTTTCTTGTTCGCAATGTCCATCACAGTCATTTCTGTTCTGTTCACGTTATTGTGCTGTTGCTCTTCTTTGGCACTTCTTTGGGTGTTATCGTGAGGCTACTCTCACTGTCTGTGGGTGCGCAAAGTTTGGAGCTGTTCTGGCAGCTTTTGTAGCAGGCTCGGCAGAGTCCTATGCATCATACTCGTGGAGTGACATTTTTCATGGTCATTATTCTTAATGCGGTTTCTAATCAACTATCATCTTTGTTGCTGGCCATTAGCATAGTTACACAAATTGAGAACCACAAAAGGGTTGTTGCGAGTATGAGTGACTTTGGCTATGGTGGCTATTGGGTACTTAAAGGATCATGGGACTTAGTAACTGGGGTTATAGTTAGGGTAACTATATTATAATTACTTATAACCCCAATTAAGGTACTTATAACTCTACTTACTAAGTCCCATGGCAGGTTCGGGGTCAGCTCACATCCCGACGCTTGTACCGCCTGAAAATCTCAGACTCTCGAAACCCTAAATGCTCTTTGGAAAATGGGCGACCCTAATATAGCACCCTAAACAATAGGATCCGTACTATAAGGACCCCATAATAAGGTACCCCCTCTACTTTCGGAAAGCCTGGCATTCCCACGCGCCGGGCTGCGAACTCCCAGGATGGCGTTCCGCGTGCCTACTCCGGATGTGCCTGCGCTGTCATGTTGAGGTTGATGGCTTCGGGAGATAGTCTTGGGATAAATAAGGGGCCTAAATAAAAGGCTATACTATTTCGGGGAGCCGCACTATAATTACAGCATAATATACCCCCTGGCCCGATAGGATTCAAGGGATACGCAACCCTGCATCCCAAAACGTGCAGCATGAGTAGACGATGGATCCGAGGGGCTTGTATTGAGCCCCAGGTCCTGAACCCGGAACAACACCCAAAAGCCAGCAAAACTTAGCAACCTGTTAAGGGCTTAATGAAGGTCGTGTGCCGTTTCAGAGTGCTTATCAAGGTCTTGATATCCGAAACTTCCAGCATCCGATTCGAAGCTAGATCCCCGAAATTATGCGTATCCTGAGGAGGAACAGTGAGGGTTCTACAGGGGCTTTATACCCGACGATTTCATATTGCGGTTGGGTCAGGGAGGTGCATCAAAACTCGCCAGCCCTAAACCACTAAACCTTAAGCGCCGAAACACTTGTTGGGCCCAGGTGTCCGTGGTGGACTTGACCTGCCGTCTGGAGAAGCCCGGAAAGTTCTGCGCCAGCATTTGGGGTATGATAGGGCTCAGGGTCTATGGGGGCTTCTTTGAGAACCAAGAGGTTTCGGGTGTTTGTATGAACGATCATTTGGGGGTTTCCAAAAAATGGGGGACCCCAATATAGTAGGATCCTTATTGTAAGGGCCCCAAGATCAGGTACCCCTAATTTAATTTTCGGAAGCCCCCATATTTTCCAAGGGCTGCAAATCTTATCTCCAAGAGCGCCGAAACCCAAACTGACCAACAAGCTCGGGGGGGGCTTAGCCCAAGCAGCAACTGCTACGGGTTCCAACCAGGCAGCGTTCTTGATTGGAGTTGTTCCCCCCCTGTCAGAAAGCAGCTTTCCCCCTGGAATGAGCATTGAATTGGTATAGTCTCCATTGTAGTTCCTTCTTGGGGTTACCTTATAGGATCCTAACTATATATTTGTGTAATTCTTGTGAAGTCCGCGCTCAATGTTATGCCTGCTATGGCCAGGTACGAGGAGATTGTCGCTGCCATCAAGGACTGCAGCAAAACGGCGCGAGTTGAGGGCTTAGGATTTGGGAGGGTGCAACCAGGGGTGGCTTGTGGCCTCCCTCAGCCGTTCAGGGAGATCTTGCTGCAAATAGCCGATCATCTTCCGGGGTTGAGCCTTTCAGCCCGAAGACTCAGAGTCTACCGAAACTGCTTCCAATGACCTGTGCACCGTGCCGCAGTGCAATACGGAGCAAAGCAAAGCATCACACGGGTAGTTGTCAAAATTTAGGCACCTTTTGGGGTACCCTTAATACTAGGTGCCGAATTATACTAGGGACCCAAAAAGGGACCCTAATGTTGACAACCACCCACATCTCGAAGCAGGAGATGCTGGAAGACGTCAGGTGAGAACTCTGTCACAGCTACCCACTCCCCAACTCGTAGTGTGTAGTAAACCGTGATTCCGTCGTTTGGCCATGCAAAGGCAATGATATCAATATCCTCAAGGCTTCCAGAGTTGGCAACCGTCACAAATCCGAACGTAACAGCTCAAAAAAAGACAAACTTAGCCTGAGCAACTCGTAGAGAGTCTTCGCAAAACTCTTGCAAAACCCATATTGCTCCCTTATAAAGGCCGCGCAGATGCTCCCTTAAAGACCTTATGCAACCCCTCATAGAGCCTTAGTAAACACCTCACAGGAGGCGGCTGCCGGACCAATGAAGGGCGTCCTTGCCGAGTCCTCAGATCGACGAATGACCTAGTGCTTGAGCCTCGAGGCCTTGCGTTTAGGGAGGGCTTCGAGTGTAGGGTTTAGTAGGGTTTAGGGTTGGGGGCCGTTCAGGGTTTAGGGTTTAGGGTTTGCGGGTTTGAGTTTACGGTTGAAGCGTTCAGGGTTTAGGGTTTAGGATTGAGGGTTTAGGGTGTTGCATGGTGTTTACAGGGTTCCGCAGGTTTTCTCGGTGACTGCCGTATACGCGTTTAGAGGTCGCCCGAAGCCTAAACCCAACAAGCCTGCACTCTAGACACCGAATCGTCAACCTGACGACGCACAAGATGACCTAGACCCTCATCATTCGAGCAAAACCCTCCCCACAACTCTAAGCCCTCAACATCCGAATCCCCAGCCTTTGAGCCTCAAGCCTGGAACCTTGAAGCCCGACTTTAGGATTCAGGTTTTAGGGTCTAGCTTCCAGAGTTTACAGCACGAATAGATGGGCATTTCCGTGGCGTTGGGAATGTGGTCTCGGCAGCACCCGTGCCCAACGATGGCAACCCGCAGACTTGGCAACATGAGAGGGAGGATGATGACGTTTCCGAAACGGTGATGTTGTTGATGATGATCCTAGTGATGGTGGCGGTGTTGAGGGGGCAAGCTCTCGCAAGTGCGCATGGTCTCAAACACTTTGGGATAGGTTTCTTCAGAGAGTCAGTCTTCAGAATTTGGGTTTTATGGGTTTCGCTTTGTTGGGGTGGCAGTTTTGCAGATCTCCAGATTCAGATTTCACCCCGTGCTTCGAACAGACCACACCCTCGACCAGCAAGCCCCGAACTACACCCACACCCGAAAGATCTGAATTCTTAGCTGGAAAACATGAGGACTGGACGGATGAGGAGGTGGTGTCTACGGATTTTGTGACTTGCAAGGCGCGCGTTTGCTGACGACTGGGGGATCACAGCACGTATACAGGCACATGCACGCATATGTACATACATACGTATGTACATGCAGGCATACATACATACATAAACCGTCGAATTGAGAGTCCGAGCAATCCTCCAGACTCAGTTTTGAACCAACCATGCTTCACAATCACAGGACACACTGATTGCAAGTGTGCGCTAACGGGTCGATGCAAGGGGTACTGAACGGCTCCCTGTGGACATCTCTCGTTGATGCCTGCCTCTGTCTTTTTGCAGTCACAACATATCCACAGCCTGATCCTGATATACTCGCTGTAATCCGGGGACCCTGAGCTTGATGATGGAGGCTTCCTCCATCTTCGACGTCGCAGCCGGTATCTCGCTGAACGCTGCTCGGCAGCGAAACATCTCCTCGTAACTTTTTCAACGGAGCCCGCATATCCACGATGCCCCCCCATTTCTAGCCTCTGCTGTAGCATAATGGGCTTCAAATTGTTGAGGCCACTATAGACATCCTTTACGCCCGTGCATTGAAACTCAAGCGGTTGGCAGGTTGGTGCTCGCGTGGAGCCATGGGGTTTTATGGGTTTTCGGGAGTGCAGGGCCAGATAGAAGCGTAGTCGTATCCTGAAGTCAGTCTTCAGAACCTTATCAACCTGCAAATACAAAGACCAGGAGAGGAGGGAGGTTTATGAGAAGCACTAAAACCCTAAGCTGCAACACTCCTTGCAGACGGAAAAGGCTGTTAATAAAAACACCTAAGCCCCAAGTCCCAATCAAACCCAGGCCCCAGCGCTAAGCCGCTAAGTCCTCTAGCCGTAAGCCGAGGACAATTTCGTGAAGTTGGTCAGCTGGTACGACAACGAGTGGGGCCGCTGGCCGTGAAGCATCCTTTGTCGAGAGCCATGATACATGAGTAACGACATAAGCTAATGTACAGATTCGGCAAACAAGCAGATCAATACATGCTTGGTCTATATCTGCATGCGAGTGTGTATGCAGATGTGTATCTAATCTGCATAGTACAGTCTGGTAGAATCTAGCTGAATTGCGAAGGACTCGAAGTCGAATCTCTGCGATATCGGGGTAAACTTAATATAAACAGGGGACGTTCATACAAGTTGCAGCAGCAACTAGAATGCAGACATGGTGCCCCTCATGTTGAGAACCCGCCCTTGATGTCGGCACTGGAATGTCGAGTATGGGGTGTAGGAGGTTAGAGCCTAGGATTCGGGTCTAGAGGTGGGTTCTGGGTTGGTTTCATTGTATGGATTGCTACGTGTTCAAGGGGTCTGAGGATTTTGTTAGGAATGTTGGGACGAAAATCCCTCGTTAAGACAGAAATCCACGTGCTGCTTTTCACCGGGGCTCATCGAGAAGGAGAAGGATGAGGTCATGACTCACATTCCACTTCGGTCTGTCATCACATGAGGCAGGGTGTAGGATACTGAGATTCGAGTCCGAATATATGAGCCCGTCATAAGTTCTTCCCAGACTCAACGACTGAGTTCTTCAACCCATAAACCTTAGATCCCAGGCCCGAAATCCGTGCAGCTGAGGCTACTCAAACCGTCTGGTGGAGCTTGCCATCCACATGAGCAAGGTAGGGTCTCCGACACTGTGAAAGGATTTGATTGGTACCTGTGAGGTTAGGTTTTCGGGTTTGAGGGCTGCAGGATGCTGCAGGTGACTGACGGGTTCTGTTTTGCACCTTGACTTCCTGCTCCTGAGACATACGCATGGAACACGAACACTCGTCCTGCTCCCTCAATCGAAGATCCCGCGCCCACGCACCCAAGCCTAAATTCTCAACCCAAGCCTTGACCTCAACTCCGAACCCTGAGCCCCAAATCCCACAATCACCTGCAGCAGGTCGATGCTTGAGCAGTGAGAGGCGTGGGACTGCAGGGTTGCCGCATCTTGGGCTCTTCTGTTCAGGTCTTATGGCCTTAAAGCCTAGGACGTTGCGGTTCTGGGACGTGGAAAGACTATACGTCCCCAAATCCTTAGCCCGCCCAGCTCTCAAACCAAAGCCAAAATCCCAAACCCCCAAGCCCCAGCCCTGAACCCCTAGTAATTAGGGTTATAGGTACCTTTAACGGGGTTATAAGTGATTATAAGTATAGTTACCTGAATTATAACCCTAGTTGCTAAGTCCCATGACTCTTTAAGTAGGAGAAGGAGACATGTTTATGGAAGGAATGGGCACTCGCATGTGGAATATGAGGTTTGCTTGAAGTTGGGTTGTGAAAAAGGTGTGGGATTTAGAGCATCGCAATCTGAGTTTACTTTATGGCCTCGGACTTTGCACGCAGGAGGACGTAATCTACACAGATTCTCGCAAGCATCCCATGTCGCATTCAGAGCTCCTTTCTGCAGACGAGAGGGTCACCGTTTCACGGAATCTTTAGCAATCCCCAAACCCCCAAACGCCTAGGGATCGGCGCAAGCCACACCCGCCATTTCGGGGCATCCTTGTGTGCGCATGTTTGTTTTGAAATCCTATCGTACTCGCCGCGCTGGCAGGCAGCCGACGGGACTGCCAGCCCCTGTTCCCGAATTCAGTTGTTTTGGGTGTTTAACGGGTCCATAAGGCTTTCTATAAGAGGGTGTTTTGTTGAGGGGTTTAGGACTGAGTGGTCAGTGCTGTGGCTGATGGACAAAATCCGTCGCTGCGTGAGGTGTTCTGAACTATGTCCATCGGGCTCATTCCCTAGGGTGCAGAATGCCCTACTGTAGACTCCTATGCAACCTTCCAGCAAGTCGGGGTTGGGGATTCAGGGATGTGGAGTCCGCAGGTTTGGGGTCAGGGTTTCGGGGTCAGGATTTGGACCTTAGGGTCTCGGGCCCTCCTTCAAACTCTCATCGAGCCTGACAAAATAGGAACGCTGGGCTCTTCGACGCATGGAAGTTTCAAGGAGGCGGCGGGTACTAGCTGCGCATCGGTTCCCTCAGCGACTAAGGAAAGGGACTGAAGCCCTTTCGATGTACTGAAGCTCTCCTTCGCTTAATACGCCTCTGTCGAATTTGAGACAAGTCTTCGTCCAAGGGTTCTGGTACAGGACAAGCTCCAGGCCCCATGGGTTTGAACAGCATTAAGACTAGACGGCAGGGCAGTGGGGTCTTGCAGCTTGTCCTGCAGCATATCCCTTGAACTCAAGTGCCAAGAGCGCTGTTGCTCCTGGTCTGCTGCGTGCATTTGCGATAGTAACTGGACTGACGCCCGTTGCACCTCGAACGCCGCAGACAGTACCAGCTCTAGTTCATACTTACAAGTACCGCTGCGCTGAGTTGTCAATCCCTACCAAGTCTTCTCGGATCGCGTGGCTCCTGGCCAAATGGCCGTCGCCGCCGGGTTTCTTTGCCGTGTACTGTCGCAACTGTCAGGCGTCCAAAAGCCACAGCTTTTGCTAACCTGTGCAAGGCCCATCTAAAGCCCACCGTTGCCTACAGTTGGAGGTTCAGGGTGCCTGCCATAGTTCGTATCCGGAAAGGGCGCTGTGCTCCCAAGTATACTGGGGAAGCTTCAACAAGCTTTAACCTGATGGCAGTTGAAATACCCACCCAAAGCCTCCACCTCTCTGGACATCAGAGTGCTAGGTTCTGGAACCCAACAGCATCCGCCGACCCCTATGCCAACCAATGCTCCACCTGGAATGTTGCCATCGACTTTGGGTTTTAGGCTGTCACGAGTTTCATACCAGGGCATGCCACTACCAAGTTACATTTGCAGGCTTTGCGCAGGGAGAGCTCATGCGGAGCATAGCCTAGGCACAAGACTGGTGAAGCAGCTCTTCTTTTTGTAGTCGTGCTCCCTGTGCACATGAGATGTTCTTGTGGCACTTCCGACCCAACTTGCTGGCTTGCAGCATCTTTCCATCTCAAGCATGACTGCAAAGCTTGTTTCAAACCATAGACTGGACCTCTGGAAGCAATCACCAAAGAAAGCATGCAGTGAAGCTCTACCGGGCCGCCTTTTAATTTTAGCTGGAGGTGTGCCATACTCAGCTACAAGATGTAAACCTGGCAATGACCAGCCCGGGTTACCTGAAGTCCTAAACCCCAAACCCCAGGACTTTAGCTCCAGTTCCCGTTTCGAAACCCCGCGCTCTCGGGTTCATGACCGCCGAGCCTTGCTGACCCCTTGCGGCTCCTTCTCTGCCGGAGGCCCAACGTTACTTTTAGAGGTTTTCGGGTGCATGGGGCCAGTCTTTTTTTTAAAGCTTCGGCGTGCCTTTTCAGTGTCTCGCTTCAGCTGTTTCTCGCTGCTTTATCAAGGCGGGCTGTCGGGGGGATGGCTTCGCCTGGGAACTTTGATTCAGGACCAGCGCCAGAAGGTTCCCAAGGTGAGATGAAGGTAGGTGGGTGGGCTGAAATGAAGCTTCCTTATACCAGGCATCCTTCTTTCCACCAACCCTCAACCACCTTCAAAGGTTGAAGTCTTACGGAGCTCAGGCTGAGGGCATGCGTTTGGCGCTTTTTGGCTTACGGTGTCCGGGGTATGCAATGTGGTTTAGAATGTCGGGATCAGGGCCTTTAGAGTTTAGGGTTTGGGGTGCAGGGTTTCACTTGCGAGCTTGCGTCGCAAGATCGAGTCCCACAGCCGCAAGGACCAAGGCCCCATAGCCCTGAGCTCATACCTTCGCAGCGCAGCCCCAAGCCCCAACCCTACCCGAAGCCCCAGAACCTAGACTGTAGACCCCAAATTCTTGTAGAGCCTTTATACAAAACTTTACATGGAGCACCTTCCTAGAGCCCTTGTAGAGCCAACTGTTCAATCCTTATAGCCTTATGGATCTTGCTAAGCCGGAACTAGCGCAGAGTTGAGAGACATCTTCGCCTTCCGGGAAGGTGTGCAAGCCTGGGAACGGCGTCATGGGGTCGGCAGCCCATGGTGTCTCAGTGTTGGGAATAGGGTTCAGGGTTTCGGCTTGTGCATGCGATTCTAGACTGCCCAGCTGCGCAGAGAAGCTTATGACCTGCAGGAGTTGAGTGTAAGTTACCATCACACTATACATTTGGGCTTGTACTGTAGCCCCAATTCCCGGTGGACTGAAGTAGGCCAGCCCCATCACAAGATACCATCACAAGTTACCATCACAAGATTCTGCGAACGGTATGTAACCGTTCCTGCAAGGACCCTTGCCACAATTTGAAGGAGATTTCCCTGGATGGGCAAGAATGCACCACTTCTGCTGAAACTACTACGACTACTACTACTACTACTACCACTACTACTACCATTACTACTACTACTACTACTACTACTACTACTACTACTACTACTACTACTGCTACTACTGCTACTTGTACCATTACTATTATCATGACTACCACTCTCTAGCACCACTACTGCTACTCCTACCACATGCTCCTAGTCCTGCTCCCTACATCATCGGTCGGCAGATCCGAAGGCCTTGATACCCCAATCAAGCCCTGCGAGCCCCAAGTGCTACAACCACCCGAGCCAGAACCCCTAAACCCTGAACCCTAAACCCTGAACCCCTAAACCTCAACGCTGAACTGGTGAAGGTCTCGAATGAAGGATGTGCAGCGAAAGTTGGACCTGAGTTTGGAGGTTGGGCCCTCTTTTGGGTTGTGGCGGCTTTGGGATCGTGGGACAACCGCATTGTGCAGTTGGTCAGCTTCAAGATCCCTAAACTCGAACCTGAAAGTGTCTACTTTGAACCTCGAGTCCCAGAGCCCTCCTCGAGAGACCTGAAACCCGGAACCCTGTGCCTTGTCCCTAATTACAATAGGGGCCTCAAGGGGGTTCCTTATTATATTTTTAGTACAATGGGCCCCAAAACCCTGTTCCAACTAGTAAGGCCCCTAAAGTAGACTCTTAGACCCTAAGCCCTCTGCAGGACCTGGTCGAGGAGCAGAAAACCAATGGCGGAGGCAGGAGCATACCGCGCTTTCGCTGTTCAGGGTTTAGGAACCTTCAATCGTGAAGCGGGAACCTGAATCCCCATTGTCCTAAACGCAGGGTTTAGGACAAGGGGATTGAGGTTCCCGCTTCACGGTTGAAGGTTCGGGTTCGAGGTTTAGGGGGTTTTAAGCCTCAGATTTCAGGAGTTCGGGCTTAGACCAGTTCGGGCTTAGACCCTTTAAGTTCAGGGTTCGGGGTTCAGGTTTTGTGTAGGCGGCTGGCATGATTCATGGGAGCTTTGTCCGTGGCTGCCTGTGATCTTTTCTTGAACCCAAGCGGGGCAGTCGGCGTTAGGATTTCCAGGGTCAAGCTTTGAGGAATTTGGGGTTGTCGCATTGATGCAAGCAGTGCTGCTTTTCTTATTTAAGGGTTTTGAGATCCTCGACTCACGTGAGCCCTGAATTCTGCAAGCCTTCAAGCCTCGTGCAGCACGCAAACCTCTCCATGAATCCCGCTCACCCCCAAGCCCTTACTCAAAGGGTCATGGGACATAGTAACCAGGGTTTATAACCATAGGTAACTATACTTTAGCCTGAATTAAGGTACTTATAGCCCTACTTACTAAGTTCCCATAATTCCCCAAGTAGACCCTAAACCCTAAACCCCTATAGACCCCTGATAGAACCCTTTAAGGAACCCCTGAAGGAACCCTACTTACTAAGTACCCCTATAGATCCCCCAGGTAACTTGCTGAAAGCTCAGGAGTCCTCAGGAGCCCCTGAGCCCCAACCCACGGGCCGTAAGCTCCGATGCAAAGCCTGGCGGCCTCAGCGGAACCCCTGGCTACACCTCATGATCCCAGGAATTCTCGCTTTTGGATCCAGTAGATGGAACCATGAAACCAGAAATGCCGAGCTTCTAGCAAAACTTCGTGGGAGTAATGCAGGCCGATGGTCCTCGCTGTTTGTAGCCATGCTCCGGAAACTTATCGCTTTTGCCCGTAGTCTGGCAACCAGTCATGAGTTTTGGCAAGCCCTGAAACCCTAAGCTCCTAAACTCTTAAAGCATAGACCTAAAGCCTTGAAGCCGCAAAGATCAGGCAAGGGAGGTGGCCGGAAAAGAAGGCGCAAGGGGCTCAGCAATGGTGAGCCAGGGACACCTTCACTAGAAACGCCGCAAGGTTCGGGGCTCAAGGGTGGTTCGGGGCTCAAGGGTTTCGAGGTTTTCTTTTCGGAACAGAACAGCTGGGGATTCGACGGCCTTCGTTGTGACTGGAGCAGTCACAGCAAGGTAGGGCTGAGAAGAAAGGGGTTCCTTTAAAGTAGGGTCCTTAAAGGAACCTTTAGGGTTCTTGTATATAGGGGTTCCCTTAAAGGAGCCATTAGGGATCCTTAAAGAAACCCTTAGGGTTCCTTTAGGGGTTCCTTTAAAGGAGCGCTTCTCGGGCATCCGAGGCCCGAGCCCTGAGACGGGCCGGGAGCCGGAGCCTCGCCCAGAGCGCCGAGAGGCGACCCCCAGCTTTTCTCCTTACGGCTTTGGGACCGTTTAGGGTTTGACCGTTTAGGGTTTAGGGTTTAGGGTTTGGGGGTGAGGTTTTGGGGCCGTTTAGGGTTTAAGGTTCAGGCATGGTTTAGGGCCGTGTAGGGTTCAGGGTTTGGCATTTAGGGTTTAGGGTTTAGGGTTTAGGGTTTAGGGTTCAGATTTCAGGTTTTTCGAAAGGGTTGTTCATATGGCATAACATTCATAGGGCTTTTTCAGGAGTGACTTTCTCTGTTTTGTCTTGTTTTTTCCCGGGTGTTCATAAAGACTTTATATGTCTGTTGAAAGGTGATTGAAATACTTCAGGAACATTCTTTTTCAGATTTGCCTTTCGGGGTTTGGTAGGGTTACTGCAGGTGTTTTACAACCGCCAGAAGGCATCTTTTTTTTGTTTTCTCGATTTTGTTTTGATTCTATTTATTGGGATGGATGGTTTGGGGGTTCGGCGTTGGGTTGGGGTTTTGCGGTTTGGGGACTTTTGGAGATGCCCGTGCCTGAAGACTGGGCTCAGACACGCAAGGTGTAGTCTGCATCTTCCAGGTGTGCCTCTACTTGCGTCCGTTCCTCCATGTCGGAAGCCAGTCTTGTGCAGGCTGATGCCCAAGTGGAGGCACCTGCAGCAACCGTGACCGCGGACAGGGTCAACGACGTATTGTTGGACTTCGGATTGGACTCCATGCATGCAAGCTCTCATTTGCTTTGCCTGGCTTCTCCCGTGTTCGACCGCATGTTGGAGAGCGGCATGAAGGAAGCGCAGCAAAGCATCATCAAGGTGGAGGTGGCCAGCAAGAAGGAGTTCACGGTTTTCTATGACTTGCTTCGGCCGACGGCATGGAGCAACGATAAAGTAATCGAAGCGAACGTTGATTCGCTCCTTACACTCAGTGACTATTACCAAGTCACGGCCATCAAGCAAGCTTGCGAACAGCTGCTGCTTCGTCTTCCGCCCTCGGGAACCCGCCTCCTGCAAGCACACAAGCATGGCCTCCCAGAGCAGTACCAAAGGTGCGTGGGTGAGTTGGCCAAGCAAAGCACGAAGGAGGACTTGGAGGTACTCCGCCAATCCGAGCCGGACATCCTCCTCGAGGTGGCCCTCAGAAAACAGGATGTCTTGAACCCGCTCATGAGGATGGGGAACGAGCTCATGGGGATGAAGGAGGAGATCCTCCAGTGCAAGCCCTCCGTTGATCGGCGGGTGCCAATCTATTCGGCTGATGCCATACAGGCAGGTCTCAGAGTCCCCTACGACAGCGCCAATAAAGTATATCAACTCTGCCAAGCCCGGTGCTTATTGCAAAACTGTCTCGACCGGGTGCTCCAGGCATTGCAGTGATCGGAGCCATCGTGAGCGCGGCATGCCATAGCAATATGTGTCTGTTAGGCGGATGTGAAGTGATTTAGTTTATGGATCAATGTGTGAAGATTTTTGGGTTGATTATTGCCGCTAGGAGACTTGTGTAGCTAGTGCTCGGAAATGCATTGAAGCCAGCGCCATCGTCTTGACTGTACCGGAAAGCGCCAGAAGTGCGTTGCCTGGACGTCGGATACACATGATATAAACAGTTTGTTAGCGGCGGTACGAAAAATGCGACACTGCGCGCAGCCTTTTCGAGATGGCATTGGGTGCGGGTGCGTTTGAGTCTGTTTCATAGTGGCAATGAAACCAAGTAGTCGTGCTCGGTCAACAGGTATCGGTCAACAGGTATTATTTCCAACTCTATCTATACAAGCCTTGACGGTAAAGGTTCTAATTGTTGATGATGACGACAATGACAGTGCTTGTAAGGATGAAGATAACGGCGACGAGGTCGTTGATTTCACTCCGGGTGGTCATTTCAAGAAAAGAAGAGATTCGTCACCAGATCCCAGATTACGGCGAACCTGACCCTCCAACTTCAGGGTGCTCCTTGTGCTTGTTCTTGGAGACATCGTGGGGGAGCAATCCTAAACCATACCCTGAGTCCCAAACCATAAAGTTATACATAGATCCAAGACCCCGAAGTTTCAACGCTAAAATGTGGGTCTACGAAGAGCTCTCAAAACCAACAGCTTGAAGTGGCGAATCTCCGGCCTGATGTCCGCAACCAGTATGTCGTGTGACTGGCGACTGCGAAATGGAGCAGGGAGACGTCTGGCGGACGCAGAACACCCAAAAAAGCATGCAAGACTGCTTAAACTTAAACCGGATCCCTAATAAAGCCTAAGACCCGGAAAGTAGAACCTCGTCGAAGCTTCATCGATGCGCCCTGGCAGGCTTCTGCACCGCGGTCTTCGCGAGAGCCGGAGGTTGGAAGCTCCCACCGTCGGGGTTGGACGGATTTCAGTAAGGATTTGGTTTGAACTGGTTTCGGGCTCAGGCGATTTGCCGATGAGTTAACGTTATCGCTTGGGGTTTCGAGGTCCATTGTTTGCGAGTGTGTTTGGAAGGCGCGCGTGTGAAATGCTCCAGCTAGCACCCCCCTGGCGGGTGGCACGGGCATTTTCAGGTGAGCGTGTGGTCTTGGAGTGACTCTGTCAGTTGCAGGCTTCAGCCGTGCGTGTGCTGTCCATTTGGTACGCAATGGTCTTCAATCTCCCAAGCATTGATAAACCATAAAGGTCGAGACTACCGCCGAAGCGACGAACCCGGAGCGTCGAAGTCCTATTTTCAAGCCCTTAAATTGCCCGAGCACCGCAAGCACCGCCCAAACCTTACATCCCAAATCGAACGGTGCATGAGAAACTTCTTAGCAAAGCCCTGGCCCAAATAGCCCACGGCCGGTGAGCCTAACTAACGCCTCAAGCGGTGGTTGGGGGTTTAGTAGGAAGGGCCCTCAGGACCTGGTGTTTCGGTTTGTGTCCTGAATCCCAAGACCCGCGACCCTAATCCTGAACCCTGAACCCCAAACTCGTAACCCCACACCCTTATAGAACCCTGAACGAGACCTAACAGAACCCATATTGGACCCCTTTGAACACCCTAAATGCAAAACCTGAAGCCCCTACTGTAGGGGCCTTAATATTGGGGGTTCCTTATATAATAGCTATAGCAAAAGTCTGCCCCAAACCCTGTTGTAGTTATTAAGGTCCCTATTAATATAGTACCCTTATGGATCCCGTACAGTAGCCCTTATAGACCCCTTCAAAGGAGCCCTATTCTAGTTATTAAGGCCCTTACGTGAAACACTAGAACCTAAACTTTGAAACCCTACACCCTACCCCCAAACCCAAAACCTGGAACCCTAAGCCCTAAAACCCTAAACCCTAAGCCCCTAAACCCTAAAACCCTAACTTTTTCGACCCCCTTTACAGGAGCCCTATTCTAATTATGAAGGCCCTTACATCAAACCCTATGAACCTTTGTCCAAGCCAGGCTTCCGAGGCGAAAGAGCCAGTGAGGCGAAGAGACTGGGTGGAGGCACCGGGAGCTTTGGCGTTTTGAGGGATTTGATTATTTTTTTAAGGGGCTTTGGGGCCCCTTTTAAGGGGATCTGTAGGGGAACTATAGGGTTTTAGGGCTTTGGGGTTTTAGGGCTTAGGGGTTTCGCGTTTTAGGGGTTTGCGCTTTTGGGATGTAGGTTTGAGGGTTGTGCGACCCCGCGCCAGAGTAAGTTCAGAGCACATCCCATCTTACCCCGGCAGTTGCCAACTCAAACGATTGTTCAAGTAGAGGCCTCGTTTCTTGGGGAAGTGTTGGAATACAAGAAGCCTTCCCGAAAGCGCGAGTTGGGCCAAAAGTTGCGGGTTTAGGTTTCAGAGTTCACATTTAGGGTTTCGGGCGCAAGGCTGCTTCTATGGCCATGGCAGCCCGACTGGATGCCAGACGAAGCCGCAGCTACTCAAAACCTACCATCACCATCGTCATCACGACCACGACCACCACCACCCACCACCACCACCACCACCATCACCACCACCACCACCACCACCAGCATCATCATCATTATCATCTGGACCATCAGCATCATCAGCAGCGCAGCTACAGCAGCACCAGCAGCGTCAGCATTATCATTATCATTCTCACCAGCATCATCATTCTCATCATCATCTTCGTCATCATTACCATCAACATGGCACCGTCACGCGCCGCCCCACAAACACAGAAATACAGAAATGCTCATCCTAGCAAGAAAGACGTGTGCCTTGGGAATTCCTATCGGCCTATCCAGGAGCCAAAGCGCCCGCCGGAGCCTAATCTCTCACATCTGGCATGCGATTTGGGGTTTTAGGGTTTTTGATTGTGTAGGAGTTGGGGGGGGTGTTGCCGGTTTTGGGATTTTGATCGGCTTTTCAGGATTGCAGGGTTTAGGGTTTAAGGGTTTTCGGTTCTGGCCGCAGGACTCGCTGAGCCCAAAAACCTTGCCAAAGCGCCAACTCCACGATTGCAATCCCTGAACTCTAAGGTATAGGGCTTACCCTCTAAGGAACCCTTTAAAAAATCCTTTAAATAGCCCTTAAGGCTTAAGGGATCAGAACCCTTCAAAGAACCTTCGAAGCCCTAAGCCGAAACCAAGGCGCACGGAGGCGGAGGCTCCTGAGGTGGCAGGGGCGAGGAAGACTGGGAGGCAGCGATCGGGGTTTAGGGTTTTAGGGTTTCGGGTTTGGGGTTTAGGGTTGGGGTTTAGGGTTTAGGGATCTGATTTAGGGGGATCTATAAGGATTCTGCAATGGCTCTACAAGAGTTCTGTAAGAGCTCTGTGATCTAAGGATTTCGGAACGAACTCGGGCTTCGAGTGAGAGCATGCAGTCAGAATCCTAAACCTAAACCCTAAATCTCAATACAGTTTGAACCACAATGCAGGTAGTAGAGAATGATCTTCGCAATCCAGGTGTTAGAGAATGACACTCACTCCGTGAGTTTTGGAGTGGGGGTTTCTCAAAAGGGTGCGGTCCAATGCAGGCCACAGGTTTTGAACAGCAAGACCCACAACCATAACTCAACACCAAGTCTGGGATGCTATGCGGGGTGCGTGGTTGAGGCTTTTGGCGGTTTGGCTCTAGACTAAGAAGCTGTTGAAGACAAGATATGCGTGCTGTTGCAGGTTCAGGGTGTGGTCTTCAGGAGTCATGCGTTTTTGACGAAATCCCTTGGCAAAGCCCCAGGTTTGGCTCGCAGATGTAGTCCTGAGATGTGATGTTTCAGGTTCTCTGAATCATGCGAATTATGCACCAGTCATACTTCGGGCTGGCTAGAATTCGACACACAGCCACCCGAAACCCTAAACCCCTACACCCCGAAACCCTAAACTCCTAAACCCTAAACCCCTCAAGGGCCACAAACCTCGAATCCCGGACATGGCACAAATCCTGCGAGGCCGCCACAGCCGGCAGCTGCGCCCGGCACGGGGCACGGTCACTTCTGCGTAATGTAGGGACCCCTAAAATTAGAATAGGATTCCTTTTATAAGAGGGGTCTATAAGTAATTAGAATAGGGTTCTGGGGTTCCTTGTTATAATTATAGTATAAAGAAGAATCCCCTAAGTCCCATTCTAACTATTATGGCCCAGGTCCAGTAGCTGAAGGTGCAAGCCTGTACATAGCTGCTTCATTATCTAGTTGGTTGGTTGGTGTGTTGGTTGATCTTCGTCAGCCACTCGGTCAGGCGATACGATGGTTGACCAACCACCCAGCAGGTATGTTCATTCATAATTCACCGAGACAGACTATTATAGAAACATCTATTCGAAAGTCGATGCTACAAACTAAACCCTCAGTCCCAGACGCCTAAACCCCCACCCCTGAACTCTGACACCCTGCACACCGAAAAAGACACAGTTACCCCTAATTAACCCTTACCCCAATCCTTGCATGAGGTCCCATGCCCTACCCGGTGATGCCGGGCTGGCCGCCGCCGGAAACTGAGAGTAGCCAGGTAAAATGGCCTAGCTTTTGGCTTTGAGGGCCTGGGGTTAGGGTTCATGGTTTCGGGATGTTTCGGTGTTGGGTTTGGGGGTTGGATGTAGGGTTCAGGATTTAGGGTTCAGGGTAAGGTGTACGTAGGGTAAAGGGCCGTAAAGGGTTCAGGGTTTAAGATTTAGGGAGAGTCCAGGGTTTAGGGTTCAACTTGAATGCTTGTCAAGTTCCACGAAACCCTCGGAACCCTGTAGAGGCCTTCGACAGAACTTCCATCGGTGTTCGACCATATCTTGACCTGCAATTAATTCCGGACCCTGAACCAAAAGCTGAAGCCCATCCCTGAATCTCAGTCTTCAACCTCCCCACGACTGAGCATTTTTGGCGGTATGCCAGGGCTTACGACCCTCGGCATCCTCACCCTGCTTGGCGGCCGGTGGCGCCACACATGCGCCCTCCACCATCAGTGGTCTGTCTGCCTTGTCATAGAATGGTCTCAGTTGTGCAGCCAGAAGAAGGCAACCTCGTGGACTCTAGAAGCCGTGGCAGGGTGGCTGTCTTTTGAAGTGCTACGGAGTTTTTGGACTAGGGTTTTTGGGACTTAGGAGCCGACTGAAACAGGCCAGCATGTGCGGTTAAGGACAAGCAGTGAGTAGCTCAACCTGTAGAGCTTAGTTTCCTCACGGCGCTGAAACGTGGACTCAGGTGCCTGTCCTGCATGCTTTACCTGCTCTGTACAGTGAATTAACATGGGCTTGATGGTTGAACTATACACTCGTGGGCATGGGGCCCAGAGGCACAGCAAGAGCTTGCTCCAAGATCTTCAGGTACCCGGCAAGGCACCCTGCACCTGTGTTCCGGCCACCAGCGTACGGCGCGCCGCCGCGGGGCACTCGGATTTCGGCAGTGCGGGTTGGTGGTGTCAGTCCAGGCAGCCGAGGTTCTGTGACAAATCATGATCTCCATAGTCAAGATCTTCGCCCCAAAATCATAATCAAGCACTGCAACAGCCCCACATGTGTCCTGATCTCCTCCAAACAGGATCCCAAGAAAACCTGAACCCTAAACCCACCCTGAACCCTAGCCCTAAACCCTAAACCCTATAATCAAGCTCAGGCACATGCCGGTGGGCTACCCTCCAGCGATGCACCGCTGGCCACATTTTCGCTGATTGGGATCGGGGGCAGGGTTTTTTCTGCTCTCCTGAACCTTGAACCCCACCTTAACCCAAGTCTACCCTAAACCATACACCCTGTACTCCGGCTTTTTGTATGCTTTTTCCAACCCCACCTGATGTTTCGGGATCTAAGGCCTCGAAACATCCCAGCAGCCATCTTCTCTCTCCGGGACTTAGTTTTAATGTCTCCGCTTGGCCACTTTGGAACCCTTGTATAGTTTTGTAGGATGCTCCGTACCCGAAATCCGAAACAAGCCTAAACAAAAATGAATCCGAACCCTAAGCATTGAATCCGAAACCGTAAACCCTACCGAATGCGCGGCGCGGATTGCCAGGCCTGGTGCAGCGCCTGCTGGGCAGGGGGCCTGGAAGTTGTGGACCAAAGCCATTCAAAGCGCAGGGTTTAGGGCTTTGGGGTTTAGAGTTTTAGAGTTTAGGGATATAGGGTTTACGGATAGAGGGCTTGTAGTGTAGGGTTTCAGGGTTAGGAGAAAAAGCGGAGGGGATCCGCATCTAGAGGCTTTGCAGTTACGGGGTTAGGTTTAGGGCCTAGGGTGTAGGTTTTCAGAACTTCCAGCGGTTCATGCGCAGAGCGGCTTCAGGAGTTTCGAACGTCTTCAGCCTGACTCAAGATGCTGAAAGCAATGCCGGTCGCAAGGGCAAAAGGCTAAGTTTTGACAATGACGGCAACGATAACAAGTAGCATTGTTGGCAGGAGTCGGCACCATTAGGGTTGTCATCATCTTCTTCTTCATCCCGAAACCCGAGCCTTTCATGCTACACCGTAAACCCTAAACCTCTGGACTTCATGATTAGTGAAAGCAGGAAAATGATATCCCACTTAACCTTGGTCCAAGCCCGAGCCGCGAGACTCCACGACCCGATCCTAAACTCTGTTGGGGTCGTTGTTTCAGCTCAAGGTGCTTGGAGGATCATGGGACTTAGCAAGTAGGGTTATAAGTACCTCAATTGGGGTTATAAGTAATGATAAGTATAGTTACCTTGATTATAATAACCCAAGTTACTAAGTCCCATGATCCTTTAAGTATGCTGATTGCTTCATGAAGGGGTGTCTTTGAGGGATCCTTGAAGCAGCTTGAAGTACATTGTCGTCACTTATTCCAGGGGCTTTTGGAATCTCCGGTATTCCTTTCAAAATCCGTGCAAAGCGCTTCTAAGAAGCATCGCAAGAACCCTTGCTATAGGGGCCTAAATAATTACCACTACTATTTTGGGGGTTCCTCAATATGACTATGGTATTATAATGGGCCCCAAACCCTTTTCTAATTATTGAGGCTCCTATATTGTAAGAACTTCAAGAGAGTCCTTAAACGAGCCCAACGAGGAACCCTCAGAACCCGGACAAGAACCAATATCCACAGGCACCGCCATCCCGCGGCCCCAGCACCGGCCTATCCTCCAGGCCCGCACCGGAGATGCACAGCTTAGGGTTTAGGGTTTAGGGGAGGGTGCGGAGTTTGGGGTCTTAGACGCCTGGGATTTTTAGGGTTTAGGGCGAAGGCCCCTCACCGCCAAAACCGTAAACCGGCCTCCATCTGCCCCAGACCGCTCGACGCCAGGCCAGCTCGATGCGCCCGCCGCTTCGATGCAGACGAGGGGTGCAGCTATCCTCTGTCTAAACTACGGTATGGTTTTCAGTTTTGCCACCGGCACTTTGTAGGGTAGAGACAGATTTCAATTTGTCTAAGAGTCTAAGAGTCTCACAAGCAACCCCGACTCAGACAATGGGTTAGAGGAGTGGAGGCAAGGCAAGTGCTTTTGCCGGGCCCCAAACCTTAACTCCCAGGCCCAGAAGCTCCGAAACCCAAACCCGATCCTTCAACACCCACATCTCAACCCCTATAGCAACCCTTTAAAAGTAACCCTTGCAGATGCCTGACAGAACACCCAAACAACCGTTGAGGAACCTGTATAGGAACCCTTACGGTGCTACAGGCCTCAAGCTCGGCACCTCGGGCAAGGATCGGAAGCAGTCTGCACCGCTTAAGCTTCGAGGTCGAGAGGTTTAGGGTATGAGAGGTATAGGGGGTTCTGGTTCAGGGCTTTGGGTTGAGGGTTTTTGGTCAAGGGTTTAGGGCATAGATGGGAGGGTTTAGTTGGGGTTTGGGCTTCAGGATTTTTGGTTTGTGGTTGAGTGCTTTGGTGGTTGAGGCTACTGGGCTTGGGAGCACAAGAGATATTCATGCCAGGTTGACTTACGTTTCAGGAGCTAGGTTTCTCAGGCTTAGGATCATGTCTTTACCTTTGCAACAGGGCTTAGGACTCTCGGGTCATGCTACAGTAGTGGTGGTAGTAGTGTAGTGGTTTGCACCTCAGACAGCAAATCGTAGACCTCGTGGTCATGCAGCTTGATATCTTGTCGCAGAGGTTCGTCATTCAGACTTAAAAGGCTTCCACTATGTAGAGCCTGTAACACGTTCCCTCGTTTTCTGAGGCTGTTTCAATGTTGACTCCCAGCACCCCCAGTTGCCATCGCCAAATGCGAAGCCCCATGTCACAGTTCCCGAAGTCTTTGCCGGGAGTGTAAGCTCTTTGAAGGAGTAGGCGGCGCGAGAGAGGCAGGGACAGGGACGGCCGTCGTCTCAGTTACCTGCATTTGCATTGCGGTGCGTGCTCGCAGCAAGTGGGATCAGTAGGCCTTGAGTGCTTTAGTTTGGTGGGAAGTTGGAGGTTTAGGGCCTTAGGGTTTGGGGGTTTAGGGTTTGGACTCCCCAGGGTTAGGTGTTTGCGGTACGATTTAGCGGTGCAAACTGCTAAAGCAGAGGTGGTAGGGCCCCAAAGCACATGATCCTATGACATAAGAACCGCCGAATACAGTACCCCCACTGCTAAGACTCGAAACGCCGACGCAAGGCTTCGTCGGAAAGTTTCATGGGACGTCTTTCAGGATCCAAAGTCTTACTGCAGGGTTTAGAGCTCTGCAGTGTTTCTGGTATTTGGGTGTCGGGTTCAGAGTGATGGGGGCGTCCTCAACCCTAAACCCAATCGTGCACCCAAAACTCCACACTTTTTTATCAAGGCTTGGTATATGAGCTTCACATGGGCCATGTGGGTTGTATAGCGGTTTCCCAGGGCGTTAAATTGCATGGCGCAAACCCGGAACCCTCGCTTCCTGGTTCAAGGGGGCGAGAGAAGCACAAGTCTTTTCAGCTCCCCGAGCCCTCGTACAGCCCTAAACTCAGGGGCCTTATCTTGTAGGGGACAACGCCCTAAACCACTGAAGCCCAACACCCTGTATGTGAAGAATGTGCAATGAAGGCTCCACAATAAGAGACGCTCTGGAAGTCGAGGAAGGGCATTCAGGTTTGGCAGCACATAATATGCCTTTATTCGTACGATAGCTGAGCTTAAGTTCTCTCAAACGCCAGCCGAGAGTTGAAGATGGACACCCGTTTAAGCCTAGTGTTCACGAGAATTCTGTCAAGAGTTTCAAGTTTTTTACCCTTCGAGCAAAGCCCAAGCCCTCACGGAACCCAGAAGCAGAAAACGTAGGTACCAAATCAAGCTTTCAATGCCATGACATCGCCCTGGACTGCGCAGCCCCCCTACGGTGGCATCTCTGCGGCCAGTGGACTTGGGATCGGGGTTCTTTCCAGTTTAGGGTTTAGGGTTTAGAGTCCCAGGGTGTGGGGTGGCGGCGGTCGTGGCAGTGGTGTTGCTGATGCCACCGGGTGTTTCCACAGCTTCGAAGTTCTATGTTGGGTACGGCCCCCACTCAGTAATAGTTGGACAAAAGTCAAAATATAGAGATATAAGGACCTTAATAGTAGCCCTATTATAAACTGTTACTGTATGGGGGCCGTATCCAAGTTCTATGCATTTTTCCAAGGCTCCGGCTCCTTCACAGCGAAGCGGCCTGGCATCCAGAATGGACATGGCACGCGGAAGGAAGGTTTGCGAGCTGTAGGGTCGGGGCTTGAGAACTAGGATTTAGGATTGACGGACGAAGATTTGAGCAAGGATTTGCCGCTGGCCTTTTTGGGACAGAATGTTGCAGTGGAGGATTGGGGGAGTAAGCTCGGTCGGGTTGTCAAGCGTTCGCTGTTTGCAGGGAAGGGTCAGTATTGCCGCTGGGACTTTAGGGAAAGCCTCAAACGACGAAAACTTGACGACCATTGCCTGCTGCCTTTTGAAGGAACCCAGTCAGGATTATGTGTCGTCTGTGCTGATTCGTGGATAGTTCCGCATTGACATTTCCTGCACCTTGCACTGAGTGCGATGCCCCTGCCAGCTCAGGTTTCAGCACAGTGTGAGACTCTCATGATTTTAAGAATAACGCTTCTCTCGTGTGGCGCCGAAGTAGCTGGAGTCTTAGCTTCCTTTTGTGGGTGGATAAGAATACTTGGCTCATCTTGGCTCTTATGATACCCGCAGAGCAACCACAACTTGCTATTGCAACACTTCAATCCCCGATCCTGCGTTCTCTCATCGAATTAGCCATGAGGTAGTCGCCGCCTTCCAGGGACCTTTGTTGTGCTAAAGACGGTCATCATGGCAAATCTGGGCCTGGCAGTCCTGGTAATCTTGCATTCTTCTCATGACCATCATCTTCACCTACACCACCGCAGCAATCATTATTATGCCAGATTTTGTGCTTCAGATCCACAACTGTAAAGCCTGATCCCATAAATGAGGTATGTTGCCATGTGCTTCTGCAAGCGCGTCCGCTTCGAGGTGAGTGGCTGTCAAAACGACAGTTCTGTTTGATGATCTGTAGCAGCTTAGCATTCCATCCATTCAGTCAGGCAAAGCCCGCAGCGTTCATTCCCAAAGCCTGAACTCCAAATCCCGAGGCTTTAACTTGTACGTTCTTTACCGTTCAGTACTCCGACCATAACCAACCCTAAACCCTAAACCTTAAACCCTAAACCCTAAATCCTAAACCCTCAATCTGGAACCGCCCAGCCCCGGACAGAACAAGCAGGTCAACGCGGAGCCTGTGACTTCCAAGTGGCTCTGCTTGGTTAATATAGGGGCCGAAGCAATTACCTATACTATTTTGGGGGTTCCTTACGATAGTTATAGAAGAATGGGCAGGGCTGTATCATACAGGGGCCTTAATAGTTACCAATGGTTACCAATACTACTTCGGGGGTTCCTCACTGTAAGTAAGTATTGTATAATGGGCCCCAAAATCCACAAAACCTTATTCTAATTATTAAGGCCCCTATATTATCTTTTCAGGCCCTTTTTGGGCCAATGGCTCAGTCACATAATCTATGTAGGAAAGCGCACGTAAAAGGCTGTGCGTTTAAGTAAGTCTGTGTCTGGAGGCAAGTCCTACAAGCCTGACGATTGGTTCATGTATGTTTTTATTCGTATGTTTTGTATGCACAATGCATGTGCCGAAGGCCGTAGCTTGAATGTTGCATTTTCATCGTGTAGCACTAGTGCGGATAGTTTCGATATTTTGCGATGGTAGCGGTCATGTTAGCATCAGTTTCACCATCATCACCACCATCACCATCACCGTCGCCATCGCCATCGTCGCCATCGCCATCATCATCGTCCTCTGCCCGAAAACTCCGAACCCTAGAGCCTAATCCGGAATCCCGAACCCTCGACCCCCTGTCCTAGAAGGACAGAACCTTAAGCCTTCAACGGTGCTCATTTGGACACTCTCCCCAGGTCCGGAATTAGTTTGGTAACCCGCCTTACAACTTCCAGGTTTTAAGGTTTTGGTACTTTAGGGTTTAAGGATCGGATTTGGGGGTTCAGGGTTTAGGGTCTGAGAGCTTGAAGTGTAGTAAGTTTCAGAACCCGGACTTTAATCCGAGAGCGGTTGTTAAGGATGTGCAGTCGATGCACACATCGACCTTGAGCCCTTGGGCTGTAAACCTTTCCCTGAACCTAGAGCCGACGGCCGGACTCCAGTACGGAAGTGGCCTTAATTAGAATAGGGTTTCCGGGTATGTTTTACTATAATTCTAATAAGGAACCCCTAAGGCCCCTATGTATCCCGTTTAGAACTCTTCTGGTATCTCTTGAGAGTGCTTGCAAGAACACCAAATCCCACCGCACTGCACAATCCGAAAAGGGTTGGCGAAGTGCTTGGCAGCTAACTTTGATCGAACAAGAGCCGCTACACAACTGAAGCTGATGTGTTGTCTTTCTGTTGGGGGTTTTAGGCTTGGGGTCTCAGCCTGACTCCTACTAACTACAGTACTTCGCAAACTCCACAGCATCAACTCCAGACCCGAAGCCACGTGAGCTTGGGCCGAAGACCGCAGGATCTGCGATTGCACCATCTGCCAGCGTCTCTTGGCTTCTGCACCACCCACAAGCACTTTCCTACACCCGGAGCATCCCGGAGCCCTGCAAGGGAAAACCTGGGCCCTGTCATCCTCTCTTGCAAGTCGGGCTGAGGGTTTGCGTTCCAAGCTTTGCTGAGTCGAAGTATGAAGGCCCTTATGTTGAACTAAACCCTAAACCCTAAACCACAATCTGAAGTAGCTTTGGGGTCCCAGGCCTCCACGGCGCGCCGGCGCAGTGGGCCGCGCTCTTCGCGAAGTCTGCGGTGCCTTGGCTGGGACTTAGGGTTTAGGGTTTGGGGTATCTAGGGTATAGGGTATTAAGGGTTTAGGGTATAGGGATTTGGCTTTTCGGGTTTTTAGACGGTTTGGTAGTTTGTGGAGTGTTTTGGTGGTGTTTTGGGATTAGGGTTTCCGGGGCTTTTGCGTTCAGCGTCCAGGCCAGTGTTTTCGGGTTTTCAGATTACGGCATTGAGGTGCAGATTTTGTTTTTTTTTGGGTTTGCAACGAGCCCAATCTTCGATTCACTGATGAAGGGGTTACATTGAATCATATGGTGTCCCTCTATCATGCAAAGTATATTGGGTACTGGGCTTTTTGAGTTCAGGGCCTTGCGCTTCCTGTGACAGGCTTTGTGCGCGCCGGTTTTCCATGTTCGCTGCTGCTGCAGTGGCCAGTGCTGCTGTGGTCTTCGCAGTACGATGATGATTAGCAATCCTCTGGGTTGCTGTTCAGGAACTTAGTTTAAGTTACCACAATCAGGATATCTAGTCAATGATAGGGTTTCCTTATTATACTTGGGCCCCACACCGTGACAGCCCCGGTCATGGCCTCTCGTGTTGCGATGCGGAAGTGGCCGCCAAAGGGCCTGGTCAGAGTCTTGCTGCTGCTGACAATGAGAGGTCTCGGGCTGGCATTGGAGTTGGGTGCAGTGCAGTGGTGGAACATCTCGGAAAGCCAACGAAAGGTTTGGGAAGACATGCATGAGTATCGGCTGATGCTGTACTTCGATCTTTTGAGCGACGTCATGGAAGCCCCATGTACCGACTGGTTCAAGTTCGAACATTGGGCGAACACTGTTCCGAGCGCCTGGCCCGAGAACGGGTCGCCATTGTGAATCACGTGATCTTGAACGGCTTTTCCGGTTGCCTCTCGATTTTTCCGAGGGCAGCATCGACATACCGTGCTCAAGCATCGTTACAAGCACCTAAATCGAAGCCCGCTGTCAGAGCGATCTTGCAAGCTCCGACATAAGTCCAGGCAGACAGGTCGAGCCTACAGCCTATCAAAGAAACCTTAATTTCAATCCAGTCAATGCAGGTACCTTAGGCGGCATCCAGACCCTTACCGCCCGAGTCACTGTTGAAGAAGTAGTATGGTTTTAATGATTTAATGCATAGCATTCTCACGCTCTCGAACTTATCTCTGAACTTGTCGGAACACCAAGCAGGGCCGACATGCCTGCCATGTAGGTTCGGCTTGGCTGTCGAAACGAGCCCAAACCATAAGCCAAGGCGCCTGAGTCACAAAGGCTGAATGGTGAGCTCTGAACCCTCCTTGGCAGTCTACTTGAACCTCCTAGAACTGGAACGCACAGGTACGCTTTTCGGCCGTCAGTCTGCAGCATCTTCGCTGGTGCCCTTGGGGCGGACGAACACATGCTTGTTTTTCACACATGGGTTTCACGTTTGATCATGTTGCATCGGTTTCCACTAGCTGCATTGCAAGTCTATTTGTAGGTTGTGGTTTTATTGCTGGGAAGTACAGGCCTTCTGTCAGTTCTTCGTGATGCTTTGTATTCTAATTCTTGCTGATACTTGTCACTATTATATAAATGGCTGTGGCTGTCATCGGAATTTGCACTATTGCCGCGCGTGTCTGTGTTTTGTTTCTGCTGGTATTGTTTATTGCAGGTCTTCCTGCTTGACTTTTTAATTTTCGCCCTTTGGAGCTTTACCATGGAGGGTGAGGGCTGATGCTGAAAGCCTTTAGTGGAACGAGGACTGACCAAAGTTGGGCTTGAGGGCAGGTAGAGGGGCTCCATGCATTCTGACTCTCTGGGCTCCGTATCTCACCCTTCATCTTGCTATGGCGGCGCTCTGATTCACGTTTCGGGTTTCAGTTCGCGAATTGCCCGAGTCGTGAACATCGCGTAGCATCTGCTTCTCAACTGCTGTGCTTGCGACTTGCCTCACTGAAGCCCTCACAATCTTAAGCCCTATACCCGCAGAGTCCTGTGTGCAACACTGTTCCTGGCCCCCTGCAGCATGATCGGCCAGTTTAAATGCAGAGGTACCACGTACAGACGGACACGGTTTGCATCAACGGCGCTGTACCTTGGCATGTTCAATACGCCTGATGGGCTTTCATGCCAAATTCACAGCTTTCTTTATTTATTGGTTTGCTTTTGTTTTTCTTTTGGGGGGGGTTCAGGATGTCACTGTGATGCTAGCAACGAAAGTCCATCCGTCCGGATCATCGAATTCTATTGTTGGATTGGCAAAAGAAATCCACCCTCTTCTGCTGTCGCGCCGCCCCAGGTGCTCGCTTGCGTATTGGAAGAGGTTCTCTCTATATTTGGGAGTTTCCGAAAATCTGGGGCACCAATATAGTACCTTGCATAGGAGGATCCTTATTATAAGGACCCCAAAATCAGGTACCCCTACTTTTCTGAAAATCCCAGAAAGGGGCCGTTTCGACATGAGTTACTTCTGGAGCGATGACTGGATGCAGAGGTTCTGCTCTCCCTCACTCTCGCTCACGTGCGGCTACACCTCTGTATCCAACAAGACTTGAGTGATCTCTGGTTCATGTTGTCTGAGAGATGGAGTTTCAACCTTCCTACAGGATACCTGCTGCTTAGATCCCGTTGTTCGGGGAATGGCGTTTAGGGATCGGGGGTTGATGGGGATCCTGTGATGCCCCAGAACGAGCTCTTACCGTACCGAAGGAGCGCGTGCTGCCCAGCAAAGTCCAGTGCTCCCATTGTGGGACCTGGGTGGCTGACGAGGGAAGGACGGCTTGGGAGGGGCTGTGAAATTGATTCCTATCGAGGATCGTACAGGGTTTAGTTTTTTCTTTTTGACAACTGGACTCTGGAGGGCAGGTTTCTGGGCTGACAGAGGGGAAATTGGGGGATTTGCGGCTGCCTGGCATGAAGCCAAAACAACGGAACTGGTGTGACTCTTTTCCAGATTGCGGCCCCTGTAATCAGTGGATTATCCCCGACTTGCGAATGCCACAATGTAGGCCTCGATGTGCCCCGGAGCCTAAGTTCAAATTCGCTTGAACCTCAGTTTCCAAGCCTCAAGCAGCATCCCAGATCCCAATTCCCCAGCACGTGCGATTTCCGATACTCTAAACCACATCCCAAAGCGTCAAGCTCCTCCCTGGTTCTTAGTAGGGAATGGGGGAATGGGTTATAGGGGCTACTATACGACGCCTTCAGGGACTATCATAAGGGGATCCATTCCACGGTTTCATACTAAAAGCCAGGGAGACTCTGAAGGAATATGTTCATGACCTTCCCGACTCTCTTCGATTTCGGCGAACGGCGAGGCTGGGCTTGGGGTTTGAGGTGGGGAAGAGGTGTAGGGTTTAGAAGTTTAGGGTTCAGGGTTTGGGGATCTTGTCGAGGGGTTTGGGGCTTGAGGTGGCATGTCAGCGTAAAGGTTCGGTTTGGTCTTGAGGGGTTTAGGGCTTGGAATTTGGGGCCCAGGCTAGGAAACTAGTTCTGACATGTTTCATGCCGGCTGTTCTGTGGTTGACACCCTCCACATGCAAGAATTGCTTCGTATTCGACATGTCGTTTGCAATCTAGCCCTCGTGCAGCAACCGGAACAACACCTGTGAGAGCTGCATGTCAACCACCATGCGTGTACGAATGTTGTAAGAGCATCAGGGTATATTCCCAAAGACAAGAAGACTGCAAGATCCATCTCTCGCCTGTGCCTTTTGCTTTGACAGGCCCGGAACGTTATCCGGCCTCCTTCCGACCCCGCTGCCACATTTTCTGCGGCTCACGGTCGCTGTCTTTCGAGGCCCTCCGTAGAAGCCCTGTGCATGGGACTCAGTTATCGATTCTAGGCTTGCCAAGCCTGCCCGACTCGGTCTTTCCGGTTGTAATTAGAGAGGGTGAAAGGTTCGAGTCGAACCCATCATAGAAGTCGCCTGCCACCCAGCCTGCTCGAAGCTTGCCGGATTTAAAGGGACCTAAGCACCTTAGCCGAGGCGGAGGCCTGAACCCTCAAACCCTGGCCCCAGAAAACTTCCAAACCGCAGGCCCTAAACCAGGGCACCCCAGTTCACGTCCTAAGCGCAAACGCCACCACTCCGACAGCGTACCGGCATGATTTCTCCTCGCTCACCCAAGGGCATCATATTGTCCTAAAGCCCACAAGGTTACTCAGCATGTTTTGCCGCAACAGTGCCCAACACCGACAGTTTCAAACTGTACGTATGCCCGGGGACCCTATGGGTTGAACAATGCTACCAATAGCAATGATTATGGTAGTAAATGGTAGTACGTGCAACAAACCCTAAAATCAAACCCTAAGCCGACCTGGTAGTACTGGTAGCAATCGGAAAGATAAGCTGGCCCTGATAGGATGGCCTGCCGAACTACTTGGACGACTGCCGCACGCCGCTGTCGATCTCGGACGCTGCAGCCGCACAATGGGTGCTGAATCGTAGACCAGGTATCGATGTGGGTTGTTTTGTAAACATCACCTTGTTGTCTAATTTAGAGCCGTAAAGACAAACAAAATTTTGGGGATTGTTGAAATCACACCTAATAGATATAATGTAACATCGCACAACACGGTATAGTGCATACGACAAATCTATTAGGCACGCGCTGAAGCCCCCAAACCCTGCGGAAGAACAGTTGCATTAGTCGCCGTACCATTGTGATCGGCGTCGTCGTCTTCGGCGACTCATGTCGACCCGGCCAAACTCGGACGATGTCGACCCTGCCGTCACCGCTGCCGTGACCACCACCACCACCACCACCGCCGCCGCCACCACGACGACGATGATGCATCGAACAGGAGGAGGAGAGGATGCACAGGAGCAGCAGCAAGGCCCAGATAGGTGGAGCAGCAAGACGGCGAGGAGGAGAAGGAGGAGGAGGACAAGTAGTCCAAAGCTCATCAGCAGATGAGACAACCGATACCGTAAATCTTGATTCTTCGCCTTAGCTTAGGAGCCTCAGCTTGACCTTGTAAGCTTATTGTCATTTGAGGATTACCTCCTGGACATAGCACCTCACCTGGACGGGCACAGCTACAAGGGCCAGTCAGGACTGTCGGAAAGGCATTCGTCCCTTGCCCTTCGGGGCGTGATTGAGGGTTCTGGTTTGCGTTCCGTTGCCACACCTGACCTGACCGAAGATTTTACTCGAGTTCATGTTCGCCCAAGGCCTACAATTCTACATGATGCGATGCCCAAAGCTTTATGCTAGTCTTCTCTGTCGTAGGTCCATGCTCAGTAACACTTTCACACATTCTGAACTTAGTGACATCGCCGTTTCCCGGTTTGGAGTGCAGGAGTCCGAAAGGTGGAACCCCACAGCCAGCTCTATTTTATCTTCTTTGGTTGGGCTTCGTAGTTCATTAGGCTCCTGCCGCAAGTGTGCAAGTCTGGGAAACCGGGCTCACTCAAGGTTAGTGACGCTTAGTAGTGATATCATGTAGGACCCATAGAAAGCCATAGCAGACTTACAAGCCACTAAGTTCCAAGCCCTGAATCCTGTTCGCCAGACCCCAAACCGCATATGGGTTTGGTCGTATGCGTTTCTTTTGCCATTGACTTCTGCTCCTCTTCGTTGTTGCAGCCTACTTCTTTGTCTCTTGTTGATGCTGGTGTCGCCTAGGGCTTTATAAAGAACCCTACTGAAAGTGTACTCAGCCTTTCCTCCTTCAAACTGTTGAGGCATCCAGGACGCAGGACTGATGGATGGTCCACCTCATGGGAAGCTGCGGGTAGCTACTGCAGTTGGGTTAGACGAAGCAAACCTTCAAGCAAGAAGCAAGCCTAAATAACTCGACCACGTCTGCTGGTTCTGTAGATCCAACCAAACGGAGCCGCAAGGCCCCGATGGGTAATTTTCGAACTTATTCCGACTACGCCCCTGAAGTGTGCTCCCAGAAGCCTCTCCAACTCTGCACGGCAGAGGCTTGTGGTGATTTCGGATGTTTGCGGGACTGTGAGGGCCTGTGTATTTCAAGGGTGCCCTCGAAACACAGCGATGAAGGCAGGATCGGCGTGCTGGGCGGCTCTCCTGACTTTGCAGGCATTCCGAGAGAATAGCGGGCGACAATATTGAAACAGGAGGCTGACTGAAGAGGCAGGGCTTCAGGTTTGGGGTTTCGGATTGATTGGGCTATAGGGTATACTATGGCGAGATAGCTGAAATGTTATAGTTGTGTTGCGGTGCATGCAGTGTGTTCCAAACGGGCTTATTCGTTGTCTCGTGAATTTGCAATCGAGTTTAGAGTAGTTCGCAGTTCGGGCCATTTGGGAGGACTAGGGGTGCAAACATTCAACTTACGAGTCTAGGGCCTGTGGCCAGAGCTTCGAAGCCCAAAGCAGGTTAGAGAGAGCAGGTTGGGTGGCATGGATTGCAGCGCGAAGGTGCTCAGTTCAGGGTGCAGCAGTTCTGAGAGGTTAAGGTTCAGGCTTTAGGGTTGCTGGGGCTTTTGGAGGCCAACACTTGACGCCCTGAGCCCATCACCTGAAGCCCTGAACTTGATTTCCTAGCTCTTCAACTCCTGGACCCCATGAATCCAATTGGCAATGGCATGGCCCTGGGACCCCCAGCCAAACCCACTGAAAACGAGCAAGACCGAGCAGCACGAGGGGCCCCCTATTATGCTGGCATGGCGGCACTGCGCGTCGGCGCAGAGTTGCTGTACATGTGCACGGAGGACGCCCGTTTGTTCTTGCAAGTTTTGCCGCTACCCGCCACCCACGCGCAATGCGAGAGCTCTCACCACCGCTGCCATTGCCACGCTAGCGCTCCCGCTGCCACTGACACTTCTGCTGCTATTTCTGCTCCGGCTACTGCTGCTGCTGCTGCTGCTGCTTTTGTTGTTACGACAGGCACGACGAACTATTTGCGCAATTGTGCTGTCTCGTCGTACTCTTGCGGCTGCTGTGTTTTTTCCATTCTTTGGTGATCTAAGGAGAGTTTTTCGCTAAACATCGAAAGTTTGGGGTTTCGGGATCGGGTCTGAAAGCCCTGGCAAGACGAGCGGCCCTTGGCAGGAGTCTGCAACAGGCCTGGCAAAGGGAGTTGGGTTCACGGTTGCGGGGTTAAGGTTTGGGGTGTTGAGGGTTTCGAGCACTTCACGAAAGGGGGGGCAGCCAACATTGCCCAACTGATCCATGAACAGGAGCAGGTCGTCTTGAGCATGAACGTCATTGAGTGGATTTCGGAAAACAGGATATCGAACAGCGCCAAGTTGAGTGGACCCGAGTGAAGTCCCAGAGCACGGAGCATAGTCTATTTCTTCGTTCATTTATTCATTTATTTGTTTGCTGGTTTTATTGTTATTCTAATGGAGTCGAGGAACCTTCTTACAACATGCAACGAAAACGAGCACCACGACAAGACCAAAATGAAGACGGAGAACAATGCTCTGCAGCAGCTGCAAGTCGAATCAAGCTCCTCCGAGACAGATTGCCGATTCAAAACCGAATGATGTAATGAAAGCAAGAATAACATTAAGAATCATAAAGAAGTACATACATGAATCACTGTATATTTTTGTATATATGTTTCTTTATACACAGCATTTATTGCAATATAATACAATATAAGGTATAATACAGTATAGTATAGTATAGTACAATATAGTACAGTATAGTTGATTACAGCATAGCATAATATAACATAATAAAGCATACTACAATCTAATAATATAACCGATTATACTAGCATTATAGTATAGCACACTATGAATATAAACATAAATTCAATCATAAACTTAAAGGTAACCAGAAATCTGAAAATAGATGTACGTACAATATAATGACCGAGGGGCGGCTTCCAAGTCGGCTCAAATCGCGAGAGGAATGTAGCTCTGAGGTTCTAAGTCGAAACGAAGTAACCAATGGAACGAGAGGTTTCGGGTTTAGGGTTTGAAGGAGGGTGATCGAGTGCAGGTCACGAGAGTGATGAATGAAAAGCGTCGCAGGCACGTTAATAGATAGTCAAGCGAATGAATGAATTGATCAATCAATCAACCAATCAAGAACGGCAGTGACATTGATGATTGTAGATTTGTCATCCTGTCTTTAGCAGGAGCAGGCAGGTGCATTCCGCTTCCACTTCCACTTTGCACAGAGGTATGCGCACTACAACCTACCCGGCTCTATCGATGCCCGCGTGATTAGTTCGAACAAGAACAGATCCACGCTTGAGATCTTCGCATCTTTTTTGCCGGCACATGTTTGACCACATCACAAACCGCAGCTGATTTCCATCATGAAACGTGCAGCTGTCATAGTGCTTCTGATTGCCTCCTTGATACTAGGAACAGGTACTGGCTTCATGGCGAGCAGTTCCAAAAAGGTCAACTGGATTGTTCGCCCAGTGGGCGCCAGCGACAAAGATGCCGTGGACAATCTTCTGCATTTGTCGTACTCAAATCTCCTCGCTGGTGACTATGCACCGGAGATGCTGGAGATTGCCCTGCCTCTAATGTGCAAAACACGACCAGAGTTGTTAACTTCATCGACATGGTACGTCGTGCAGGATCCCGACACCGGCGCCATCGTCGGTTGTGGAGGTTGGACGCCGAAGTCGCCGTTTGGCGAAGATATCCCCCACTTGCGCCATTTCGCAACGGATCCAAGACAACTCAGGAAGGGCGTCGGGAAGGCAATTTGGGATCGGACTTGGGAGGATTGGTGCAAGTATGCGGCGAGTCTTGACGATCGACCAAGCATGGAAGTGTTCAGCACACTCACCGCTCAGTCGTTCTACGCATCTTTGGGATTCGAGAAAGTCAAGGACATGACCATCCCGCTTAGGGAAGACTGTCAGTTTCCCGCCGTGCTCATGCGCAGACCAAATAGTTAAACAGTGGATAGTTGCTTTAATAGTTTAGATTTAGGCTCTTTGTTGGATGATGGATCTGCCGAACATTGCTGCATGCAATGTGTACACACATGATGCAGAATGCCACGGCGAAAGCACCCGAAGCTGCAGCCAAAGAAACTTGCTTTGATAGTAGCATTCCGTCATTTATTGGAGATTTTCGAAGTTCGGGGGCCCTGTCTAAAAAGAGCCTTCTGTAAACATACCCCTAGCGCGGAGAAGATATAATATCATACCTATAGTAACACATTTCTACATCCCTACTACATCCCAAACTCCAAGCAGCAGCTCCAGACTCGCGACTGCTCCGGGGCAAAAGGAGCTGCCGTTTTTTCTACTGCGGTTGCTGCCATGTACAGTGTACAGCCTTCTTCTGGCAGAGGTCGCAGTAGTAGTTGTCTGACTTAGCCTTGGAATTTGGAAAGGGGAAGCTCCAGGGTTTCGGGTTTAGGGAGTTTAGGGTTTAGGGTGTTTAGGGTTTAGGGTTTAGGGTTTCGGGAGTTTAGGGTTTAGGGTGTTTAGGGTTTAGGGGAGTTTAGGGTTTAGGGTTTCGGGTTTAGGGAGTTTAGGGTTTAGGGTTTAGGGTTGCAAACCGCAAGCCTCAAGCCATGGACCGGAATCCCGAGGCCGAAAGCCAAGCAACCCATGTCCAAGGACCTGAACCCCAAATTCAGGACCCCGAGCTGTGATACAGTGGACTTAAATAAATACCAAACTAAACACCATTTAGGGGGTTTCTTGTTGGATCGTTCCACGAGTATAGTATAGTATACCCCAAGGCCTTATTGAAACCATCAAGGCTCCCATATTAAGCCTTTCTTCTTCCCCAAACCCAAAACCCTAAACCCTCCTAATGCCTGCAACTTCCCAAGTCCTAGCAGTCAAACCCAAAGCCCTCAACACTATATCTAGGTACTGTATTAGGGTCCCCTATTTCCGCACACTCCCTTATCGCAGTCAAAGCAGGTCCCATCAAGGGCTACTCTCCCGAGCTGATGGTCAGCGAAGCTCTGTGGCCCAACTTGAGGGCTCCAGGGTTTAAGCTTGCAAGGTTTGAGGTTTAGGGTTTTAGGGTTTAGGGTTTACGGTTTTAGGGTTTAGGGTTTAGTTAGGGTTTTAGGGTTTAGGGTTTTAGGGTTTGGGTTCAGGGTTTTAGGGTTTAGGGTTTTGGGGTTGCAGAGTTTTAGGGTTTTAGGGTTGCAGGGTTTTAGGGTTTCAGGGCTTCGGCTACTATTTCTGGGTTCAGGAAAAAGAAGGGTAGGGGGTGTGAGGTGTTTGTTCGGAAAGTCAGCGGAGGCTTCGTGTGGGAGGCTTCCGGCTGAGAAGGGTTCCTGCAATCTTGTCTGAATGTTTCCGTGGTCGATACAGTAGACGCTATTCTGGCTAGGGGCCAGAAAGGAAACTGTACATTGAACAACCATGAACAACCTCATCAGCGAGTCGTATCAGAAGCAGTATGTTGCAAAGGCCTAGGCCTTGGGCCATATCCCAGCATCGGAACCCTAGACGCGCAGTCTTGGATGTGATGAAAGACGATTCCCAGACCTCAACCTCAATCGGCGCCCAGGTTTACAGCTGGAGTCGCATGTCCTCAGCAGATCCAGGCCTGCCTGCTTCGTCTGTTTGATTGGATCCTTAATGACCAGATTGGGGCTTTCTGGGTTTATACTTTCGGAAGTAGGAGGCTTGCGCTGTTTGGGGCTTCAAGTAATCAGCCGTGGGTAAGCGATGATGCAAGGAATCCAGACTCATATCAATGCAACACGGCCCCAGCACTTGCAGCACAGAAGACAAAGCCTGGCGCTAAACCCCCCCATCCCCTCAACTTCCAAGCCCTAAACTCTGCCCCTGCCTTTCTGTCCAGGTGTCGTGAGTGCAGAACAAGACCGGATGGTTGCCAAGATGGAGGCGAAGTGGGGTTTGGCGGGCTTCTCAAAAGGCTTTCATTTCAAGGGGTACAAAGGGATGAAGCTTCTCTGCTGCATGAACTTTTCAAGCACGTCTTAATGAACCATTGCGGTTTAGGACTGGGAGGCCGAGAGGGTTTAGAGCCTAAACAAGTTTAAGGTTTGTGAAGCTTGCGATAAATTTGGTGACGATGTGTTCCAGTCATGGATCATAAGCAGATGTTGCGAATTTATTTTCAACCCACGCACATGTTCTCGTTCGAGCTCGAAACCCTAAACCCCGAACCCGAAGCCCTAACCCCCATAACCTAAAATCTAAGTCCTAAGCGCAACAGCTTCTGTTTTTCAGGCCCTTCTTCCCCGCTTTCACGCTCTGTGTATTGGCCCGGGTCTTGGTCGAGCGTCCTGGCTGCCAACTGTGCTGTAAAGCTGCGTATCCGAATCCCGTGTCTGTACTACATGATGTTCGTTGGGTAACGCTTGTGCCTGTCGTTGTTTATGTTCTTGTTTCAGCTACTGTGTGCCGTTATCCGGTGTGTTCTCGTCAGTGAAAGAAGGTCTTCTCGTTGTGAGCATTCTTCCTTCACAACAAGCCTCCACAATCCGAACTAGCATGCGTGTACCAGTGCGTATCCAGATGGACACATGGACCTGCAGGTGTCTGCGCAGATTCGAAGGTGCGTGCAGAAAGATCCGTAAAAGAACATTAAGGCAATGGCAAAACGTCTGAGTCTGGACATAGCAACTCCCTGATAGGACAACACCCTCGATGCCAAACCCACCCCGGCTAACGAGCAAGGACGACCGCGTATTGGATGCGGTGGCGCGCGTGATCACTGCTGCTAAGGCTCCGGGAGAGGGGTTCAAGTTGTGGATAGACGAGACGAGAATTAGAGCAAAGACGCAAGGAGAAGGGCAGATGACTGCAATGATGATCAATGCGATGCTTGACATCAAAAGCCGTCAGGTCATCATCGCCAGGGTCAGTGCAAAGCTAGAAGTACCAACAATGCCAAGAAAGCAGATCAATTTTCCTGAGGTAATTGTTCATCGCGACAATACTCAAAAGAAACCAGAGTTACTCCAAATAAAGCCAATTGAGACGATGTTGATGATGGTGATCGTGAAATGCCAGTGTCGCTCGTCCTCGTCGTCATCGTCGATCGTAGCAACCGCAGAAGCAGCACGAGGCTTACGGTTGACAGAGCAGTAGTAACATCAACGAGGACCATGCTGGTGATGCTACACAGCCCCATTGGTGATGTAAGTTGTGATAGTACATCACCTGAACCATGGCCACCGAGCTGTTGCAATTTCATCGCCGTCGCAGCAGCAGCAGCAGCACCACCACCACCAGCATCCTCATCCTCATCCTCATCCTCATCCTCATCCTCATCATCATCATCATCATCATCATCACCATCGTCGTTGTCGTTGTCGTCATCGACATAATCCCCATCATCGTCATCATCATCATCATCGGATATGTTGCGTTGCCAGCCGTACCAGCAATGACATCATCTCACCGTGGCGTGATTGCCGTCCTTGGCATCCCCATCTTCAACATTATCATCCTAGCAGGTCATCATGATGCTCACACTGAAACGATAAGTGAGTTCAGGAAGAAGACTGCGCAATAGCTCGAATGCTCGGTTTGTCGTTTGTAATGTGTTGCATATATGGTGCGAGCGACCTGCGGGTCTCTGAACCTTCTTCCTCAGAGCTTGAATCGGAAGCTCAATTCTACAGCCCAGACAGCCGCACGCTGTAAGTACGAAAGCTATAGTTCCCGGCCACCTCCCTGAATGCTTACGCCGTGCACGCAACAACTAATCCGAAGCTCCGCAACAATAGCCCGAGCTCGAAACCTTGAGCTCTAAATCCTCGAGCCCCAACACCAACTCCTCTGCCTTGAGGCCGTGAATCTGAAGCCCTAAACGCCCTAAACCCTAAACCCTCAACATCCCTCGCCTCAAGGCCCGCGCTGTGCCTCTGGTCATCGATGCAGATGGGCTTTGGCTCATAGAGCGTCGCCCCGAGTTAGTGCAAGGCCAGGATTAAGGGAGCAGGGTTTCAAGCTTAAGTTTCAGGCTCAGGAGCTAAAAAGGGAGGGCTGTGAGGATTACATGGGTCCAGTGGTTTAGTGTTTCAGTGATTGGGGAGGGGGTGCTCGAGAGGGGTGTGGGCTGGGGGGTCTGCCTCTTCAATCTTTGAGTCATTTTAGGCAAACCCACGCGTCTGGAGGACTGTTTTGACCATGACGGCGTGACAGCGTTATCAGTGGTCAGTATGTTGACCGCCAGAGGTCTGCAACTGCAGATCTTAAGCCTCAGAACCCTGAATTCAAACACCATAATAATGGCCTCAAGCTTCTGAAACTTCCAAAACCTGACGTAGAAGCCTGATTAAGTACCGATGCCAGTGCCCAGGGTTCCTTCATGTAGTTACCCAAAACAAAACCCTACTAAAATTCTAAGTATTCACGCCACTATCCTTATAGAACCCCTTAACCAAAAGGAGCCCTTTAAAGGCCTCCTCAGTCTCATGATTCAGGCTCCCATACTGTTGATGGACAAAATCCTGCATTAGCCCATTATAAGGAATATACCATAATTCCCATAGGTTAGAGTCCTTGGGGTCATGCAGGATTTTGTCCATCAGCAGTAGTATCCGTCAGGCTATGCCAACGCCGTGCTGACGCCGAATGCCGCAGAGTTCCGGCGCCTGGCCAAGGCTGTCCTCGGCCGAGAGGACACTTTGTCGACGAGTGCCACGGTGACGGGGTCTAGGGTTTGGGGGTATTGGGGGTTTTAGGGGTTTTAGGGGTTTCGGGGTTTTAGGGGTTGTAGGGTTTAGGGATCGTCGTCTTGGTCATCATCGTAGGTGAAGCAGTAAGTAGTGGTAATCATGAGGCTACCCGTGAATCGGCGAGGGAGCGATGTCAAGGTTTTCCCTTCTCTTTTGGCGCGATATCGGCCATCGCTTCAGTGTTGCAGGACGTCAATGTCCTCGAGCTCTGTACCAAGATGGACGGGCCCATCATCGTCCAGAAGGAATCCGGCTTGGGCGAGATCAGTGCGCGCGTTTTGAGCTTCATGTGGCCTGCTAACTTAAAAAGAAAACCCGAGGAACTAGAGCCTCCAACAAGCATCAGCCTGTGCTGCAGTATCCTGGAGCTCTGAGCCCCGGAGCCCAAAGTCCCAGAGCCCGAAGCTTCAGCAGATCTCTGAAAGGCCTGGGAACCTAAATTCTAACCCCGTAACCCTAAACCCTAAATGCTGGGATCCCTAAACCCTAGCCCCTAAACCCTAAACCCTAAATCCTGGGATCCTTAAACCCTAACCCCTAAAGCCTAAACCCCGGGAACCTCGAACCCACGCCCATACGCTGCAAGCTGCCAGGGTGCCGTAGACCGCATCGGGCGGCCCAAACTCGAGAAGGCCACGGGGCTAAGGCTAAGGTGAAGATCCAAAAGCGGCGTCAGCAAGAACTGAATAGGGGTGGTTGTCAAAACTAGGGTCTTTTTTTGGGTCCTTATTAAAATACGGCACCTAATATTTAGGGTACCCAATTAGCGATCATAATTTTGACAACTACTCATAGACATGACGTCAGGTCACAGCCACTTGGAAGGGTGGCAGGATCTTTGGGCTTCGGACATGTAGTTGCAAAGAGGCGCCTTTTGGATAAACACAGTGGCGAGCATCGTTGCCGTCGTCTTTGCCCGCCTCTTGTTCTGTCCTAAACCCTAACACCCAAACGTTGTCCTGCGCTTCGAAGAAGTTCCCCAAAATGGATGCATATAGACGCCCCCCTTCTCCCACATCCTGATCGAATCCCGGGGCTGTTGCATTCGATGCTCGCCTAGACGACGCTCAAGTGTGCCGATACTCTGCATCTGGAACTGTCCATCGCAAGGCAACCGCCAACTTTGAGTTCAGGTTTTACGTTTTGGGGTTCAACTTCAACGTTTGGAGTTTAGGGGTTAGGGTTGGGAGATGATTATGGAACTGCAGAGCTTTGAAGCCACCTGCTTGCAGGCCCTGGAGTGTGCAGAGGAGGGTGCTCCACGCCGGCCAGGCGTGCCAGGGAGATTCCCGCATCCAATGCCCTCAGCTTGTCTCAGTTGCGCCCTGAAACCTAAAACCCACAGCCTCAGAGCCCTCAGAAACGTGATTATCATTCTAAGCACAACACCTCGTATTCTCCAGTCTGTCTACAGCGTTCTCTGCCCTTAAGTGCTGCATCCTGCACGACAACCCTCGACTTCTGTTATTGCTGGCAGAGATTCCAAAAACCCCAGGTCGGATTTTGTTTGAAGTTGCCACAATAGGGAAAACCTATTGTTTGCCACAGATCCTTTTTGTGGTAACTTGAACGAATCCCGAAAGAAGAACCCAGTTTAGGGCTGTCATGCGACAGGACTGAGCCTCTGACATTCTCTAACCCGAGCAGCCCGACACCCGCAACGCCTACGAAGCACAAAGCTCCGCTATCGAAAGTTTAGGGTTCCGGGTTTAGGGGCTTTGGGGTTTAGGGTTTAAGGTTTTGGGGTTTAGGGTTTTGGGTTCAGGACTTCGCGGCTTCTACAGGAGTCCCCAAGTTGTAACATTCACAAACCTTGAGCGACGAATCTTGAAGCTTTCGACTGCCAGACGGTAGAGTCTGGTCTATAAAAGCGTGTGCAAACATTTGGGTACAGCGTGTAAGTGTGTTTCAACATGCTGCTATGCCCTCATCTGCATGACATGGTATATCGTGCAGGACATAGCAAAGCGAATGAGTTTCAATAAGGAAGAAAGTACGGATATAGAGCGCAGCCCTAGGCCCAAAACCCTGGACCCCTAAACCCCTGAACCCCTAAACCCCTAAACCCTTAATTTCTAAACCCTAAACTCGAAACCCGAGAGCCCCCCCTTTTCGCTTTTTCTCGCCGCCAGGCGGTCTCGGGGACTTCCTCTCGGGAAGCCGGGACCCTGAGGTAATATTAGGGGACTATAGATGACTACCTATACTATTTTGGGGTTGTTGATTATGATTATAGTATCATGGGCCCCAAAACCCTATTCTCGTTATAAAGGCCCCTATTTTGGCGTCTCGGGGTTTTGCAAGGTTGCCATAAGAATAGCATGTAATTATGTAGCAAGACTAAACTATAGGTACTATAAAGGTACTATACAGTTACCATGACGTTACATGGTGTTTGTTTAAGGGTAATTCATTGAAAGGGTATCATAAGAATTACTTTGCACAAAAGTCTCCATCCATCCTAAATGCCTTGCTTTGCGTACCTTACAGGATGATAGAACTGGAATCCTTGTCGAATTTTTATGGTCCCAGCGTCACTCGACTTCAGATTTTTCGGATACTACTTTTGCAATCGGCTGGAGGTTTTGTGAGTAGCTTGGTTTAGAAGGCAGACAGTCGAAAGGAGTTGCAGAGTGCTCGTCGGTGCTGCGATCTGCCGGCTAGACTATTCCGGTTTGCGACTGTTCTCTCTCATGCTGTTCGGGCACATGCTTACCAATGTCTCTGGGGCCTGGCAGTCATGATTTTGTTTTTGAGCTTCGGCTTGGAACTGGAGGTTTCGCATTTGGATGTTCAGCTTGTGGTAATCGTCTCTGCGTTTCTTCTTGGACCCTCTAATGGCACTCCAAAAGCCCGGACTCGCAGCTCCTTGAGTGCTGCCGGAGTTCCCCTAACTAGGGTTTAGGGTTTTGGGCAGTGTCTGGGTGTTTCGCCCGACAGCTGCGACTATTTGAGGCCTGTAAGGTTTCGGAGGTAGCTGTTGGTTGAACCAGTTAGGGGAGTCATAGCTGTACTAGCTGGGAGCACGAGTTGTGCAT